CAAGGCTGCAGAGAGAACAAGACCCCCGATCTCCACCCCCTCCGACCCCTCCCCAGGCTTGAAAGACCCTCGACCCCCACCCCCACAGGCTACAAAGGGCAAGACCCCGGATCTCTCCCCAGGCAGCAAAGGCCCCCAAGACTACATAGGAAGACCCTCGATGCCCCCCCAGGCTACAAAGGGCAAGAGCCCCCTCCCCCCGATCTCTTTCCCCCCCAGGCTTGAAAGACCCTCCACCCCCTCCCCAAGTCTACAAAGGGCAAGACCCCCCCCGATCTCTTCCCCCCCAAACTCCATAGACCCTCGATGCCCCCCCTCCGTCAGCTGCATAGGGCAAGACCCCCCCAATCCCCCCCAGGCTTGAAAGACCCTCCACCCCACCCCCCCAGGCTACAAAGGGCAAGACCCCCCCGATCTCTTCCCCCCCCAAACTCCATAGACCCTCGATGCCCCCCCTCCGTCAGGCTGCATAGGGCAAGACCCCCCCAATCCCCCCCAGGCTTGAAAGACCCTCCACCCCACCCCCCCAGGCTACAAAGGGCAAGAGACCCCTCCCCAATTTCCCCCCACAGAGCCCCTCGGGCTTGAAAGACACCCCCCCCCAAGGCTGCAGAGAGCACCCTCCCCCCTCCCTTCCCAGGGACTACAACTCCCATCATCCACCCCCACGGGCAGGAGAAAATAGGGGAGCCATTCTGGCAGCCCGGTCCTCCGCAAAACCCACCCACCCACTCCCCCAGGCCGGGGGGGGGAGCAGGGGACGATGGGCCTTGTAGTCCGTCCTACCTTCTTGACGGTGCGCGGCGCCTCCGTGACGGTCCCGTCGGGGCTGACCAGCGCCTCTCCCAGCGGCCCTCCCGCCCCGTCGCCCCCGTGGCCGCTGAGCCGGAGCGGCGGCTCGCAGCGCTTCATGGCCGAGGCCTGAGGGGCTTTGGCCGCAGCCGAGCCGGGCGGGGGCGCCGCGGGGGCCGCTTTCTCGCCCCCGCCAAAGCCGGCCGGGCTCCGCGTGAGGCGGCGAGCAGGGCCCGGAGGCGGCGGAGACGGAGACGGAGGCGGCGGGGGCTTGTCCAGAGGCCCGGCCAGCTCCTTCAGCTCCACGGCCGGCGGGGCCGCCACCCGCACCGACATCATCCCCTCAGCCTCCCTCGGCCCGCTTCGCCCGCCCGGCTTCCCTCAGGCTTGGCTACGCCCACCCCCGCGCGCGGGGCACGCCGGGAAACGAGTCCCGCGCCCGGTTGGAAAGAGCGGCGCGGCAGCCTTTGGGAGACTGCCGCTCCCGGCAGGCTTTGCGCGCCCCCGGGTGGGAGGGGGCAGGAGGAGGAGGTGAAGGACGACGACGCAGCGGCGCCCCCGCCCCCCGCGCGCGGAGGCTCTCGGGAGCTGCAGTTCGACGGTTCGTGGCGGCAGGGCTTTGAAGGGCTCTTCCGGAGCGGCGGGACTGCAATTCCCAGGAGCGACCGCGGCGTGGCTCGAAACTCAATTGGGCGTTTGGAGGGGGATGGGAGGGGCTTGAAGGCTCCAGTTTCCCATGGCAAAGCACGCGTTGGGAGTTTTCAGGACTGCATGAACCATCATCCACTACAGGACTACAGGACCCATCGTTTTTTCCCTTGCGGGCCGTGCAAGTTTGAGGGCCATCGACATCATCATATCTTCTTTTTTTCCCTTCTTTCCCCTCTCCCTCCTCTTCTTTTTCTTTTTTCTTCTCTTTCTCCCCCACCATCCTCTTCCACTTGTAGTCCTCGACTTACAACCTCTTCCCCTCCCTCTTCTTCTCCTATAATTCTTCTTCCTCCTCTTCCTCTCCTCTTCTGCCTTCATTCCTTCTCCTTCCTTTTTTCCTTCTCTTCTTCTCCCTCTCCTCCTTTTTTCGTCCTCTTCCTCCAGCTCCCCCCATTCGCTTCCACTTGTAGTCCTCGACTTACCTCTTCCCCCTCCCTCCCTCCTCTTCCGTAATCCTTCTTCCTCTTCTCCTCCTCTGCCTTCATTCCTTCTCCTTCCTTCCTTCCTTCCTCTTCCTCCGCCTCCCCATCCTTCTCCACTTTTAATCCTCGATTTACAACCTCTTCCCCTCCCTCCCTCCTCCTTTTCTTCTCCTGTAATAATTCTTCCTCCTCTTCCTCTCCTCCTCCTCCTCATTTGCCTTCATTCCTTCTCCTTCCTTCTTTTTGGATACGATGATAGATGAATAGATATGACAATGATGGATGGATGGATAGATGAATGGATATGATGATGGATGGATGGATAGATAGATGTTAGATAGACAGACAGACAGAGACAAATATAGAGATAGACGATAGATATAAATGATAGAGATAGATAGATAGATAGATCTGGATGGATATAGATGATAGATAATATGATAGATAGATAGATAGATAGATAATATGATAGATAGATAGATAGATAGATCTGATAGGCAGGCCGGCAGGCAGACAAATGATAGATGATAGACAGACACAGACAGACAGAACCAAGGGTGTGAAAAGCATTTGGAAGGAATGGGGGGACATAGGATAGATACGCCTTTTTCTTTTCTTTTTTCTTTTTTGCAAGATATAAACCAATTTGAAAGTCTAACAAGCCTCCAGTTTTCCCAGCACTCCCCCTGCAGTCAATGAAATTATGTATTTATTTCCTCAACCATTCTAATCCATGCTGACATTGAACAGCCTTATAAAACCTCCTCCTGTAAAAGGATTAAAAATAATACAGGAGCACCGGGAGCAAAAGGAATGAAAACAAAGAACAAATGACAGTTTTGGCAGAGAGAGGGAGATAAAGATACGACTTATCTTTCTTTACCTGTGATTTCGGGAGCAAAGCACAAGGCGGATGTCCTGTCCTTTACCCCAAAAATTAATTTAATTCTTTCCAGCAGTTAAAAAACTTGTCCTTTTACTGAACCTTCCGTTCTTTTTCAGCAAGGCTTAGCAGGAAGGTTACAAGACACAATCATCACGGCATGTAATTTGTCACTCCCCGGGAGTGTTGAAAATGCACTCTGCGCATGTTCTAAACCAAGGGCAATTCCCACGATCCCCGCTAGGATTCTGTATAGGGATGGGTACTGGTGCCATGGAATTTATTGATTAAATCAGTTGTGGGGGTACTGCCCACTGGTCAAACGGGACTCGGAGTGCTAAGAACACAAAAAAACCTATCACAATGGGGTTTTTGTTTTGTTTTTTTACTACCGGTTTGGGGAACCAGTAGCACTTTTTGCTACCGGTTCAGTCGAACTGGACCGAACCAGTAGCATTTCACCACTGGTACACACGCACACATGAAGAGGGACACCCCAGCTAAAAGAGGCGTATGGCTTCCTGCCATACGGTGCCCACATCCTGGCACATTTCCACCAAGTATTAATTCTTAAGGCAGGATTTTGATTCGGATGAAAACAAACGTCCCAGGCTCTCGCCGAGAAACAAAACTTGGAAACCTCGTGATTTGTTCCGTGGCACGGAAAGTGGTTGTGCACAGATTCCACTGGGAATATTTGTCCGGATGATTCCCCCATGCCGTCCCATCCAACGGAGCTTCAATCTCTGCTGAGGGTTCAGCCATGCCAAGGCGGGCAGGGCATCGATCCAGATTTTTTTAAAGAGCAGCATTACAAAGACAGCAATCATGCAGAGATCCAAGGCAAGTCAGATTTAGAGAATTCTCGTCCTTTTGCCTAACCGGGGCCGAATTACAGGTAGTCCTCGACTTACAACACTTCATTTAGTGACCATTCAAAGTTACCACGGCACTGAAAAAAACCTGTTTTATGACTATTGTCTATTGCTATTGCTTAAAATCTTTTGGCTGGATTTAAATTCCACTAAAACTCATCCAGGCTGCCCATAAACATCTGTGGGTCAGTTTCTGTGCTCCGGATGATATTTCTACTTTTATACACGGAGTTCTCGATTTTCAACTGTTCATTTAGTGACCGAAGTTACAACGGCATTGAAAAAAAGTGACTAGGGACCGATTTTCGCATTTACAACCGTGGCTGTATATTCCCATGGTCACGTGATGAAAATCCAGACACTTGGAAACTGACTCGTATTTATGACGGTTGCAGCGTCCCTGGGGGTCACGTAATCCCCTTTTGCAACCTTCTGACAAGCAAAATCAATGGGGGAAGCCAGGTTCACTTAACAAGCGTGTAACTAACTTGCGACCACAATTGTACCACAGGTAATCCACAATTTACAAACACCATTGAGCCCAAAATTCATGCTGTAAAGCGAGACATTTGTCAAGTGAGTTTTGCCCTCTTTTACAACTTTTTTTGCCACAGGCGTTAAGCGAATCACTGCAATTCGTAAGTTAGTAACCCAGTTGTTAAAGTGAATCTGGCTCCCCCATTGACTCTGCTGGTCAGGAGGTCACAAAAGAGGATCACGTGACACAGCAATGGTCATAAGTATGAACCAGTTGCCAAAGCATCTGAATTTTGATCCCATGATCATGGGGATGCTGCAAAGGTCATAACTCTGAAGAACGGTCGTAAATCACATTTTTAATGCAGTTGTAACTTTAAACGGTCACTAAATGAAACATTGTAAGTTGAGGACTACCTGTATAAGCTTTTGGGGGAAGAGTTTTGCCTGGAAAAGCGAAAGGCGCAATTCAAATCCTACTCTCTATTGCCACCTCCTGGCACAAATTTAGTTAATATTTTTTCCCACTTTTAACATCTTGCAATCTTTCATTTGTGTGGCTGCCCGCTGCCCGTTTAAGTCAGTTAAAAGATTTTGGAGTTGGGTTCAATTAAGATTTTGGGTTAAATCAGTTTTAACTCTCCTGAGAATAGAATAGAATAGAATTTTTTATTGGCCAAGTGTGATTGGACACACAAGGAATTTGTCTTCGTGCATATGCTTTCAGTATACATAAAAGATACCTTCATCAAGAATCATAAGGTACAACACTTAATGATAGTCATAGGGTACAAATAAGCAAATTTAGGTAAGGAAAAAACTGTTCACACCAAGACTTAACCAGTTGAATTCCAAGTTAGGGAAATTCTTATTTTTATTTTTATTTTTTTTTTAAACAAAAACCAATTGGATTAACCCAAACTTCAAAGAGACACAAAAACGGTGAATCCCGACCAGGAGTTTTCTTCTAAGTCTTGGGGACACATTTTATTTTGCAAAAACAAAACATATAAATGTGACACAGATAGTGCTCAACATACAAGGCTTTACTGAGCGACCGCTTGAAGTTACAAAAGTGACTCAAAACTGATCCTCACACTTAACGACGGGCTCTGCCTCCCTACTTTTTAAGTGTAAAAAATGATCCCAAGTCACTTTTTTTAGTGCCGCTATAACTTCAGTCACTAAATTCCTCGCTAAGTCGAGGAATACCTGTATATAAAAGTAGAAATATCATCTGGCCAACAGATGTTTATGGGCACCCCGGATGAGTTTAGCGGGGTTTCAATCCAGCCAAAAGATTGTGCCAAGTTATCTCAAGATTTCCAAAAAAATCCTAAGAAATTTCTTATTATAGATGATAAAATGTTTAGATTTTGCAACCATGAAAAACAGACGAAAACTTTGTGTTATACGTAGGTACATTACAGAACAGTAACAAAACCTGGAGATATTTTAACACGTTGCTACCGCCTCTTCCAATTCAACCCAGCCTCTATGCTTACGCCATGTTCTAATTCCTATCGCCGTCTGGTCCCACCAGGGAGAGGATGAAGGTTAAGACTACGTCCCATCAAGCTGCACGGGGAGGTAGAGGCACAGCATGGAGTGTGGAAAGCAGAGTTCTCCAGAAGTTCAAGGCCTTCAGACGGTGGTCCAGGTGACCTCAGAAAAAGGTTCTTCTCTGGCTGTAGAGTTGACCCCTTGAAATGAAGACTTGGGAACTTATGGGGAAGACTCCAACTGGGGTGTCCTACAGAATTCTACGAGGAACTTCGAACCAGAGATGAGGATATGTTGGATCTCAAGGTCCATCAGGAAGGGTCAGAGATGGTGGACACAGGAAGATCAAAGATATGGCAGCCTATCAGGGACTATCCAGATGGTGGACATGATGTTCCTCAACATTGGCCATTTTGAAGATGGGTGGACTTCAGCTCTTCCATTCAACGTAGCCTCTCTGCTTACTCCATATTCTAATTCTTATCTCCCGTCTGGAGCGTCCCACCACAGAGACGCTGAAGGTGAACACTACAAGTTCCATCGCTGGCTGGAGAATTCTGGGAGTTGAAGTCCACCCATCTTCAAGTGGCCGGGGTTGAGGAATACTGACCTGACTTCTGGATAGACCCTGATGGTCCATCATGTTCATGATCTCCAAACTTGGTTCTGAGGCACCCTCAGCCATGGATCTCTTGAGAAGACATCTAAATCAACCCATCCGTGTAGAACGTCCTTCAAATCATCTGGGTCTTCTCCAAATAATCTCTTTTTTGAAATAAACCTTTTCCCCCTATTTTCTGCTCAGTATTGCGACAGGTACGGTAAATGCCCAAAGTGATATGAGATAATATTGTACCTCGAGCCCCTTACGTATTTGGGTACAATGTACAGGGTAGTCCTTGAATTGCGACCGGAATGGTGTCCGGATTTAGTCATTAGTTGTTGATTGCTAGGCAGGACATCACGTGACCCCTCTGATTTTGTGAGTGTTTGTTAGGTGATGGTCTGGATGGATGAAGAAATGGAGGAGGGCCCTTGATGGTCTCTGAGCTTGATTATTTTCTTGCAAACATTTCCTGACCCAGCTAGGGAACATCATCAGGAATAAAGGAGGGAGGGAAGGAAGGAAGAAGAAAGGAAACAAAGAAGGAGAAAGAGGGAGGGAAAGAAGGAAGGAAGGAAGGAAGAAGTGCAAAGGAGGGCCACTGATGGTCTCTGAGCTTGGTTGTTTTCTTGTAGACATTTCCTGACCCAGCTAGGGAACATCATCAGGAATAAAGGAGGGAGGAAGGGAGGGAGGAAGAAGAAAGGAAGGAAAGGAGAAAGAGGGAGGGAAAGAAGGAAGGAAGGAAGAAGTGAGAAGGAGGGCCATTGATGGTCTCTGAGCTTGTTTGTTTTCTTGTAGACATTTCATGACCCAGCTAGGAAACATCATCAGGAATAAAGGAGGGAGGGAAGGAAGGAAGGAAGAAGCACTCTGGGTCTTCTTGAAGAGGTCCACAAGATGAAGAGGGAGGGGGAGAGGAAGGAAGGATGGCCTCTTCCAATAATCTCTCTCGGTCTCCTTGAAGGAGATGAAGCAGAAGAACCCCCAAGGACGGTCCCGAAAGGGACACCCCCCTTCCCCTTCTTTCTCCCGACCACCCCACGGCTGATCGACGCCAAGCCATTGAAAAAGCTCCCTCCTAGAAGTCGGAGTCCAGGTCCACCAACTCGGCGTCCATCAGGTTTGTCCGGGAATGGATGGGGGGCAACCCACCCCACTTGCCTAGAGGTGGCTGCACCCCATAGACGTCACCGCCCAGGAACAAAGCAGCTGAGCTCCTGGGGGGAGCAGGGAAGGCGGCTCCCCGAAAACGCGAAGGCTGCTGTCCGGAGAATAGCCACGCTCCACGTTCCGGTCCCGTTTCCTCGGAACCCCCAAAATCAGGGCAAAAGGGGTGGTTGATGAGATCCGGGGGGTTGATACGCCGGCAGCTGCCAGGGGGCAGGTCCCGGGACAGTCCAGCCAGGGGGGGCTCCGGCTGCCGGGGGGCTCGGGGTCTCCATTCGGGGTCCGCGCGAGACAAAAGGACATCATCCAGAGCTTGGCTTTGTTGTGGGTCGGCGACAAAACACTTGGTTTGGGGGAGCCGGGGCAGGCGTGGGACGGAGCTGGGCCCTCCCGGGGCAAAGTAATTCAGGGCGCAGGTCTCGGTCGCTGCCCCGGAGGGGCAAACCCCCTTCTTCTTCCGGTGCTTCTTTTTCTTCCGAGTCGGTTTCTTGGCCCGTCGGGAGGAAAACTCGCCTTCCATCAGCCAATGACTGGCCCTCTCCTCGGGGGGCACTGGAAAAGGAGGGTGAGAGAACTGTCAATCAAAATCAAGGGAGGCACTAATACCACTCTATCAAGCCTTAGTAAGATCCCACCTGGAATCCTGCATCCAGTTTTGGTCACCACACTATAAAAAAGATGTGGGGACTCTGGAAAAAGCACAGAGAAGAGCAACAAAAATGAAAGGACCTGGTGGCTCAGCAGACTAAAAAAAAAGCATTGTTATTAAGACCAGCTGCCTGCAATTACTGTAAGTTCGAATCTCACCAGGCTCAAGGTTGACTCAGCCTTCCATCCTTTCTAAGGTAGGTAAAACGAGGACCCAGTTTGTGGGGGCAATAAGCTGATTTTATATAAAATATACAATAGTATGAAGGCTATTGCTTAACGCATTGTAAGCCGCCCTGAGTCTCCGGAGAAGGGCGGCATATAAATCAAAATTTAAAAATTTTAAAAAAAGATCTCCAAGGAAAAATGGGTGGGCTACGAGCAGAATAACAGAATAGCAGAACGACAACAGAAGAACAATAGGAGAGTTGGATGGGACCTTGGAGGTCTTCTAGTCCAACCCCCTGCTTAAACAGGAGACCCTTTCATACAGAATAACAGAATAACAGTAACAGAATAATAACAGAACAAGAACTATACAACTATACAAAAGGATGAAGGCTATTGCTTAACGCATTGTAAGCCGCCCTGAGTCTCCGGAGAAGGGCGGCATATAAATCAAATTTTAAAAAATAATAATAAAAAAATAAAATTAGGGGACTGGAGCAGGAGTGAAATGCTCGGACCAGATCACCCAATCTGGTAGCGATGGAGGCGGGTGGTTCAGAGAACTGGTAGCAAAAATCCCTGAGCCCCCCCCACCCATGCCCAGCTGAGCCGCACGATCATCAGAGGCTTTTTTTTTTACTTTTAAAAGCATTTTTTCTACAACCTCTTCCGATGAAAAAATGCTTTTAAAAGTTAAAAAAAAAAAAGCCTCTGACGATCGCGCGGCTCAGCTGGGATCGTCAGAGGCTTTTCAAAGCATTTTTTTCTGCAACCTCTTCAGCTGAAGAGGTGGTTTTAAAAAATTGCTTTGAAAAGTCTCTGACGATCCCAGCTGAGTTGCCTGATCGGCAGAGGCTTCTCAAAGCATTAGAAAAAATGCTTTGAAAAGTTAAAAAAAAAAAAGTTGGCCACGCCCACCCAGTCACATTACCCCCCACCCCACCAAGCCACGCCCACAGAACCGGTAGTAACTCATTTTACCTTTCACCCCTGGTGTAAGGTCTCCTGCTTAGGCAGGGGGTTGGACTAGATGACCTATAAGGTCCCTCCCAACTCTGTTAATCTCTTATCTGTCATTCCATAGGTAAAGCTCCATCAGATTCTCCGAGGAGGAGGAGGATTGGCAGCTGTCACAAGACCGCTAGGTCTTATTTTGGGAGGTCGGGCTGGGACAGATGGAAGTTTTGCATTCAGGCCGGGGTGCAGTTTGTACTAGAGGGAGTCCTCGCCTTACGACCATAATTGAACCTCGCATTTCCGTTGCTAAATGAGCCCTGCCTTTCCGTTGCTAAGGGAGACCAAGGGCGTGGGGGCTGCAAAGTTAGTTTTGCCCCCATTTTACAACCTTTCTCACCCTGGTTGTTAAGTGAATCGGTGCCATTGTTAAGGGAGTCACACCGTTGTTAAGCGAATCCGGCTTTCCCCAACTTTACTTGTCAGAAGGTCGCCAAAGGACCCCCGGGAGACATTGCGACCGTCGTAAATATGAGCCCATTGCCAAGCGTCTGAATTTTGATCACGTGTGATCACGCGGTGATGGTCATAAGTGTGAAAAACGGTCATTAATTTCTTTTTTTCAGTGCAGTTGTAAATTTGAATGGTCACTAAATGAACGGACGTAAATCGAAGACTATCTTCATTTATTTGTTTGCATCTACTAGCCGCCCAACTCCAATGGGGTACAGGGAGTCCTCGACTTACAACAGTTTGTTTAGTGACGGTTTGAAGTTACAACGGCACCAAAAAAAGTGACCGTTTTTCACACTTAACGACCGTTGCGGTATCCCCCATGGTCAATATGATCATAATTCGGACACTTGGCAATTGGGTTCATATTTATGACGGTCGCAATATCCCAGGAGTCATGTGATCACTTTTTCCTGATCCTCTGAGAAGCCGAGTCAATGGGGAAGCTAGATTCGCTTAACAACCAGTTTACCCACTTAACACATGCAGCAGTTCACTTAACAAATGTGGCAAGGAAAGTCTTAAACTGGGGAAAAAAACCACTTCACCACTGTCTGGCTTAGCAACAAAATTCTGGGCTCAAATTTGGTCATAAATCCAGGACTACCTTCACAGTTAATTTTCACTCCACCCTGGTATAAAGTAAATCAAATTTAGTTTTTGGCCAGGCGTTGCCTAATTGCAGAGACAAAATCTTTCCCTCCCTCCCTCCTCCTCCTCTCTCTCGCTGTCTCTCTCTCTCACTCACACACACCCTGATGGCACATTTTTGACCTTTCCAGGTGACCCCTCCCCTGAAGAAAGCACAGGAATGGTCCCTCTCCCCATCCCTAAACTTTCCAAGTCAGGAAATGTACATTACAGGTGGACTACCTGCATTTCCAGCCTTTGGCCAGCAGCTGGCAGCAGTGAGTCAAAAGATAGAATAGACACCAATGCATGGAATGCCACATTGGCCAAAAAGGGCACCTTCCAATGGCATTCGAGCTGTTTTGACAGCCCAGCCCATCCAACCTCTACGAGGACCATTACCTGGCGTGGCTACAGGTGTGACAGAGACATCCTGAGAGAGGATGGCGCCTCTCCTGGCCACCATCTTGGTCACATGTTGCGCCCAAGCCGAGGACATGTCTCCCGAAGGCTCGCTGATATCGAACACCAAACCGGCTGGAAAAAAGAAACAAATATATTTTAATTCAATGATCAAAATTGAGCTGTACTTTTTCATCTCTGTTCATTTACTATAGGTAATCCTCAACGTACGATCAATTTCCAATTTCCGGCAAAAACCACAGAGAGTATAATGCTGTGATGGCGAACCTATGGCACATGTGCCACAGGTGGCACGCGGAGCTGTATCTGTGGGCACGCGAGCGTTGCCCTAGCGCATCTCCAGTGCGCATGCCGGCCAGCTAATTTTCGGGCCTTCTGGTCCCACCAGAAGTTGAGAAATGAGCTGTTTCTGGCCTCCGGGGTGGTGGGGAAGACTGTTTTTGCCCTCCCCAGGCGCTTAGAAAGCCTCTGGAGTGGGAGGGTGAAAAACAGGCCTACCGGGCCCACTGTGCCATTGCGTGCCAAAAGCAGGGGGAGCGCAGGGGATACTGTGCACATGCGCAGGGCGCATTGAATTATGGGTGTGGCCGCGCACACGCGACCCCCACACACTCCCCCCCACTTTTGGCACAATGATATAATGGGTTTGCTTAACAACCATAGTATTTGCTTAACAGCCACTGTAAAAAAAATGTATCATAAAATAAAGTACGAGCATGCGGTGGCCCATTTAACGACCACAACTGTGGTTAAGAATTCAATTACGGTTTACGGCTGTAAATCGAGGACTACCTGGGAAAAAGCTTGACGTAAGGCTAGTTTACAATTTGGGCTTTTACAGCTGGGTACCTTAGCCGTATCTTTCTGTCAAACGTGAGACAATAATAACTAAGTAAGTGGAAAAAATTACAAAAGTTACTGTTCTGCAAACAATAACGAGAATAAACTTGTATGCTGCCTGATTCCCAATGACTAGGGGACTCGCAACAATCAGCAAAATTGCAATGAAAAACTCCCTTTTTACAACCTTGTACTCCTGTAATTTGGGGTAGAGTTGAATGGAGCCTGAGCATTTGCTGGCCGGATGCCCTTCCTGACGCCTACACAGGGTTCACAGCAGATAATTTTTTTTTTCTTTGTGCCCTAGGAGAGAAACATCTGCCGCTACCTAGAATTGAGCCCTCAACTTTCCGATTGGGAAGGGAGCAGCTTCACCACCAAGCCCCCATGCCACTCTAATTTTAAAAAAAATACAATAAAACTAATAGAAGATAAAAGCTGCAAACGACCTGGGCAGAAGGATGTGAGAGTTCTCATTCTCTGATAAGCATCTCCATCTGCCTAAAACCTGATAAATTGATATTTTATATAAACCTTGATTCAGCTTTTGTATCCTCCAGTCATTAAGTGACATAATTTTAACCCAGTACCAATGAAGAGAATATCTGTAGCTGAGGGTTGAACTGTTGGATCCTTGGTGCTCTCTGAAATGGGTAGTTTTCTTGCAGACGTCTCATGATCCAACTAGGGAACATCATCAGGGTTCAGAGGGAGTGGGGTTTGTGGAGAGGAGGAGGAGGAGGAGGAGGAGAACCAGGATTGTGGGGTCCTTAGTGCCCTCTAAGCTTGCTGATTTTCTTGCCGACATTTCATGACCCAACTAGATAACATTATCAGTGTTAGGAGGAAGTGCACTTTGCTTCCTGTTTATATAACACCACTCTCGTTTAGCACTGACAATGTTCCATAGTCGGGTCGTGAAACGTCTGCAAGAAAACCCCCAAGCTCAGAAAGCACCAAGGACCCCACCGTCCTCCTCTTCTCCACAAACCCCACTTCCTCCTAGGCCTGATGATGTTACCTAGTAGGGTCATGAAACGTCTGCAAGAAAACCCCGAGAGAACCGAGGTCCCCATTGGAACAAGCGTCCTCATTTTTCTCCTTCTCCGGGACGTACCGACGGGCCCCTCGTGCGAGACGGTGCGCAGGCTGAAGGAGAGCTCCTGCGCGGGGTTATGCTGCAGCTCCTTCCTCCTGGAGAAGGCTTTGGCAATCATCTTGCTTTTCTTGATCCTCTTGGGCTCGTTGCTGCTCCGGCCGGTCAGCCTGGAGGAGAAGAGAACATCAGAGGCCTCCTGACCATGCCCCACCGCTGACCCAAAACCTCTGGGCAGAGGATTAGGGCCAGGCTATTTGGGTGTTGTGGTCCATCAGCAACCTGTACAGCTAGTAGCTGATTTCCGACAGCGAGGAGGCTGGTGTGGTGCTGTATCAATCCTTCCCTTCCCCTCCCTCCAGTCAGAGCTAAGGAAGCTTCTGGGAGGAGAAGCGAAACGTCTTCAAAGAAAAACCAGAAAGTCCAGTTGCCTCTTGAAAAATTCACTTTTGGTTGCCGCCTCCGGCCATTTGCAACCTGGCCTGTGGGGTTATTTCCCCACCCTTTTAAGACCCACCGAAGACCAAACTGCAGAGTTTTTGCAATGACTCCAGATCATACCAACTTACAAAGGGTGAGAGTGACAAGAGCCCCCTAGAATGCAAAAACATCATGTACAGGAAGTCCTCGACTTACAACAGTCCATTTAGTGACCGTTCAAAGTTATAGCGGCATTGAAAAGCGACTTATGACCGCCGCAGCATCCCCACCGTCACATGATCAAAATCCAGAGGTTTGGCAACCTCTCTCCCCTATTTATGATGGCTGCACTGTCCCTGGGATCACGTGATCCCTTTTTGTGACCTGCTGACGAGCAACGTCGATGAGGAAGCCAGGTTCACTCAACAACCGTGTTACGAAGTGAACAAGTTGCAGCGATTTGGTTAACAACTGAGGCAAGAAAGGCCGTAAAAGGAGGAGAGGGAGAAGAAAGAAGAAAGAGAAGGAAGGAAGGAAGGGGAGAAAGGAGAGAAGGGGAAGGGGAAGAACAAGCAAGGAAAAGAGGAGAGGGGAAGGGAAGACTCAAACATAGTCCCCAAAGTTGGGGAGAAGGAGGAGAAGGAGAAGGAGGAGTATGAGAAGGAGGAAGAGAAGGAAGAGATGGAAGAGAAGGAGGAGAAGGAGGAAGAGGCAAAGAAGGAAGAGAAGGAGAAAAGAGAAGAAGGAAGAGATGGAGAAGGAGGAGAAGGAGGAAGCAAAGGAGGAAGATGAGAAGAAGGAAGAAAAGGAGAAAAGAGAAGAAGGAAGAGATGGAGGAGAAGGAGAAAGAGAAAAGGAGAAAAGAGAAGAAGAAGAGATGGAGAAGGAGAAGAAAGTGAAGGGAGGAGGAAGAGAAGGAGAAAAGAAGAAGGAAGAGATGGAGAAGGAGGAGAAAGTGAAGGAGGATGAGAAGGAGGAAGAGAAGGAAAAGAGAAGAAGGAAGAGATGAGAAGGAGGAGAAGGAGGAAGAGAAGGAGGAAGAGAAGGAGAAAAGAGAAGAAGGAAGAGATGGAGAAGGAGGAGGAGAAGGAGGAAGAGAAGGAGAAAAGAAAAGAAGGATGGAGGAGGAGGAGAAGGAGAAAGAAAGAGGAGAATGAGAAGGAGAAAGAGAAAGAGAAGAAGGAAGAGAAGGAGGAAGAGAAGGAGAAAAGAGAAGAAGGATGGAAGAGGAGGAAAAAGAGAAAGAGAAGGAACGGGAGGAAGAATGAACCAGAAGAAAGGAAGGAGAAAACAGGAAGGAAAAAAGTAACAAGAAAAAGGAGAAGAGGTGATAATCGTAGAGGAGAGGAGAAAAGAAAGGAGGAGGAGAAGACAAAATAAGCGAAAAATGAGGAGAGGAAGAATGCTTGCCGTACTAACCCCGATTGGTCACTAAACAAAGGGCTGTAAGTCAAGGACCTACCTGTAGGCGTTTGGCCATTGAGAGGGACACCTCCTGCCTCTTCCCACCGTGGACTTGGAGAGCTCCTTAATTCAACACCTCCCACCCCCCTCCCACAAATCCCTCTGGTACGCCAGCCAGCTCCCCCCGCCCCCCGCAAGGCGCCATCCCTCCAGCACCCCTCTTACCTGCCCCAGGTGCGCTTCCAGATGAGCAAGGTAGCCTTGGTCCACACCCAGGTGCTCATGGAGATGCCGGTGCCAAACATGGCGAAGAGGTTGATCTTCTCCACCAGGAGGCTGGGCCGGTTCTTGATCTCACAATCCGGGATCGGCTTGTTGGTCTGGGCCGCGATCGTCACGTTGGCCTCGCACCTGCGGCAGGTAAGAGAAGAGGAGAAATGGCAGAGGGAACGGCCTCAGGAATGCCCACCTAAGCAGCTAGTCCTCAACTTCCATCTGTCTGCTTAAGTGAGCATTTCGGAGTTACGACGACGCTGAAAAAAGTATTTCACACTTAATGACCACGGTCACGGGATCGAAATTCAGAGGCTTGGCAACTGGCATGGACTTATGTCGGTTGCAGGGTATCCGGGGGTGGGTGGGTGGAGTTTCACGTGATTCCCTTTTGTGACCATCTGACAAGCAACGTCCAGTGGGAAGCCAGATTCGCTTAACTAACTGAGCAACGGCAGTGATTCGCTTAACAACAGTGGCCGGAAAGGTCACAAAAGGGGACAAAAGTCACCGTCTCGCTTGGCAAGAGAAATTTTGGACTCGGTTGCAGTCATAAGTCGAGGGCTACCTGCAGCCCTCAGGAGAGTCAAGTTAGAGCACACGGCCCCCTCGGGGCAAGTTTTGGAAGGGCTGGGGGATTCTGGGAATTGAAGTCCACCCGTCTTTAGAATAGAATGGAATGGAATGGAATGGAATGGAATGGAATGGAATGGAATGGAATGGAATAGAATAGAATAGAATAGAATAGAATAGAATAGAATAGAATAGAATAGAATAGAATAGAATAGAATATGGAATGGAATGGAATGGAATGGAATGGAATGGAATGGAATAGAAAATATGGAATGGAATGGAATGAAATAGAATAGAAGAAAACAGAAAATAGGAATAGAATAGAATAGAATAGATAATAGAATAAAGCGGAATATAGAATAGAAAAGAACAGAATAAAATAGAATGTAGAAAATAGAATAGAATAGGAATAGAAAATAGGAATAGAATAGAATAGAATAAATAATAGAATAAAACAGAATAGAATAGAATAGAGAATAGAATAGAATAGATAAAAGTAGAATAAAACAATATAGAATAGAATAGAATAGAAAATAGAAAATAGGAATAGAATAGAAAATAGGAATGGAATGGAATGGAATGGAATAGAATAGAATAGAATAGAATGGAATGGAATGGAATGGAATGGAATGGAATGGAATAGAAAATAGGAATAGAATAGAATAGAATAGAATAGAATAGAATAGAATAGAATAGAGGAGAGGAGAAGAAAAGTAAAGAGGAATAGAATAAAAATATGGAATGGAATGGAATGGAGTGGAAGGGGAGAAGAGAAGAGAAGAGAAACAGAAATAAGAATAGAATAGAATAGAATAGAAAATATGGAATGGAATGGAATGGAGTGGAAGGGGAGAAGAGAAGAGAAGAGAAACAGAAATAAGAATAGAATAGAATAGAATAGAATAGAATAGGAATAGGAATAGGAATGGAATGGAATGGAATGGAATGGAATAGAATAGAAAATATGGAATGGAATGGAATGAAATGAAATAGAATAGAAGAAAATAGAAAATAGGAATAGAATAGAATAGAATAGATAATAATAGAATAAAGCAGAATATAGAATAAAGAACAGAATAAAATAGAATGTAGAAAATAGAATAGAATAGGAATAGAATAGAAAATAGGAATAGAATAGAATAAATAATAGAATAAAACAGAATAGAATAGAGAATAGAATAGAATAGATAAAAATAGAATAAAACGAATAGAATAGAATAGAATAGAATAGAATAGAATAGAATAGAATAGAATAGAATAGACTTTATTGTCACTTGGAATGTACACTAATTGCCATACATTAAAAATGAAATTTCATTGCATAAAAGCTCTTAAGAAGTCACCACCTCCAATATAACACTATATAAACATGACAAGATAAATACATAAATAAATAAATACAAAATTATGTTAAACTTGCTTTGCTTCAGAAACACTGAACCACCACGGAATGCGAGGATGGCCAAAAAAAAAAAAAAATAGCTATTTTAAATCACCAGAACTTAGAAGTTCAGCCAAAACAACCTTCCTTTCCCAGAAATCCGGGACAGTTTCTCACACCCAGGCGAATGGGTTGCTACAGGATCCAAATCCGGGTCGGTCACCGTTCGATTCCCATGCAAGCAAACCCAGAATCTGGATTTCAGGGCTCCCAAACTGAGTTAAAACTGCTCTATCCCTTCAGCAAAGCCATCATTGCTTGATGCTGGTTTGTGGACCCTGAGAAGTGGAAGTGGCCCATCTGGTTTCCTTAATGCAACAGCTGCCCCCGGGGGGAAAAGGGCTCAGTCGGAAAACCCTGGACTCCGTTCGGCAATCGGTCATCAAAGGAACGTGGCGCGGGTGCAAATCCACCCCGCGGTCGCGTTAAGCCAGAGATGGGCAGAGCCAGGAACGTCGATGCCTCCCCGACTTACAGCACGTACTCCCGGAAGCTGCGTTCCCACTCCGCCTGGTTGAAGAAGTCGTAGAAGTGACAGCCGAAGGTGATGAAGACAAAGCCGAAGGCCAGGAAACCAAAGATCCCTGCCAATGAAAGATGATAGTCAAAGTCAGGGGTCTCCCATCTTGGCCACTTTAAGACTTGTGGACTTCAATTCCCAGAATTCCTCAGCCAGCAAAGCTGGCTGAGGAATTCTGGGAGTTGAAGTCCACAGAAAGCTGGCTGAGGAATTCTGGGAGTTGAAGTCCACAGAAAGCTGGCTGAGGAATTCTGGGAGTTGAAGTCCACAGGAAGCTGGCTGAGGAGTTCTGAGAGTTGAGTCCACAGGAAGCTGGCTGAGGAATTCTGGGAGTTGAAGTCCACAGGAAGCTGGCTGAGGAATTCTGGGAGCTGAAGCCCACAGGAAGCTGGCTGAGGAATTCTGGGAGTTGAAGCCCACAGGAAGCTGGCTGAGGAATTCTGGGAGCTGAAGTCCACAGGAAGCTGGCTGAGGGATTCTGGGAGTTGAAGCCCACAGGAAGCTGCCTGAGGGATTCTGGGAGTTGAAGTCCACAGGAAGGTGGCTGAGGGATTCTGGGAGTTAAAGTCCACAGGAAGCTGGCTGAGGGATTCCGGGAGTTGAAGTCCACAGGAAGCTGGCTGAGGGATTCTGTGGAGTTGAAGCCCACAGGAAGCTGCCTGAGGGATTCTGGGAGTTGAAGTCCACAGGAAGGTGGCTGAGGGATTCTGGGAGTTAAAGTCCACAGGAAGCTGGCTGAGGGATTCTGGGAGTTGAAGTCCACAGGAAGGTGGCTGAGGGATTCTGGGAGTTAAAGTCCACAGGAGCTGGCTGAGGAATTCTGGGAGTTGAAGTCCACAGGAAGCTGGCTGAAGAATTCTGGGAGTTGAAGTCCACAGGAAGCTGGCTGAAGAATTCTGGGAGTTGAAGTCCACAGGTCTTAAAAGTGGCCAAGGTTGGAGACCCCTGGTCAAAGAGACCTCTGACCCTGGGGTGGTCCCAAGCAGCGGCTGCATTCATGAGACAGGCTTAACTCCCTGTCTTAGTAGCTCATCAGCCATTGCACAATTGGCGGAACCGTCATCAACTGAGTGGTTTGATTTATATTGCGCCATTATTAGTTTTTATAAACAACTCATGGTGGCAAATATTCATGAAGGGAGGGAGAGAGAGACTGCCAGTTGGCTTTCATGCCTAAGGCGGGACTAGAACTCCCTGTCACCTGGTGATTAGCCCAAATTCATCCACTAGGCAGCTCTCATGTCTAAAGTAGGACTAGAACTCACCGTCTCCTGGTGATTGGACCAAAGTTACCCAGCTAGCTTTTATAGCTAAGGCAGGACTAGAACTCATCGTCTCCTGGTGATTAGCCCAAAGTCACCCAACTGGTTTTTGTAGCTAAAGTAGGACTAGAACTCACTGTCTCCCGGTGATTAGCCCAAAGTCACCCAACTGGTTTTTGTGGCTAAGGTGGGACTAGAACTCACCGTCTCCTAGTGATTGACCCAAGTCACCCAGCTGGCTTTCATGCCTAAGGCAGAACTAGAACTCACTATCTCCTGGTGATTGGCCCCCCAAAAAACCCTTGGCTTTCATGCCTAAAACAAGACTAGAACTCACCATCTCCTGGTGATTGGCCTAAGGTCACCCAGCCGGCTTTCATCCCTAAGGCAGGACTAGAACTCACCATCTCCCAGGTTTCAGCCTAGTCCCAAACTGGCTCTTTAAAGTAAATCAATTCCTTAATTAAAGGCCTTGATTCACGCAACTATCCCCAATGAGCTCAACCCTTCGGAGAAAGCATTCGATACAACCTCAGGGTTGCGTGCAAGCAATATGCTAAATCATGGTTTATTTTAATAATGGGTTTGCTAAGCTAGCCACAGGGGCTGGGTCAGCACCTTAAGGAACAAGCCACGTTTCTCACCATCGTAACTTGATTCAGAGACAAGTCGGCCACAACAAGCCACATCGCGAGTTGACTCACCCCCCATTTCAACCCCGAGCTACAAATATTCTCCTTTATGGTCACCTCTACTTACCAAGGCGTAACATGGTCTCGTTGATCTTACTGGCCGCCTTCTCGCTCAAGAGGCCCGGATGGTTGCTTTTGATAGAGAAGAGAGTCATCACTCCTGGGGGGGGGGGGGGGAAGAGGGCATTTATTAGGGTCTTTGTAGGGGAAGAAGTTGCAGAATCCGGGGGCGGCGTCAAAAGAGAAATCAGCCTAGCATCCCTACGTAGCCACAAGCAAACTTAAGTCCAACCTCCCTCAAATTCCATGGACCCATATCTGACTCATAGCAGCTGCCAGCTGTTGGTTGAGAAGATTCCTGTGCATGGGCTTTTAGCAACAGAGCGGTTTAATTGGGACCTTCATGTACGGATCTCGTCTTTCGTGCCCGCGAGTCTTGCAACCTTGACGATCCAAAGAAGAGGAACAAGCAGATTGGGTGTCCTTGCCAAATTTTTGCCAAAAACGACAACCACAACCCCAAAATCTGGGTTTCGGTGGAAAAAGCAGAAATCTTCATTTTCCCAGCTGCTGTCCGTTTGTAAATAGGTAATAGCCCGTAGACTTATATACCGCTTCACAAGTGCTTTCTAGCCCTCTCTAAGCAGTTTACAGAGTCAGCTTCTTGCCCCCCAACAATCTGGGTCCTCGTTTTACCGACCTCGGAAGGATGGAAGGCTGAGTCAATCTTGAGCTGGTCAGGATCAAACTCCTGGCTGTGGGCGGTGAATTAGGCTGCAATACTGCATTCTCACCATTGTGCCACCACGGCCCTTCCTTCCTTCCTTCCTTCCTTCCTTCTTCCTTCCTTCCTTCCTTCCTTCCTTCCTTCCTTCCTTCTTTCCTTCCCTCCCTCCCTCCTTCCTTCCTTCCTTCTTTCCTTCCTTCCTTCCCTCCCTCCCTCCCTCCTTCCTTCCTTTTTCTCCCTTCTTAGCACTTAGCAATAGCGCTTAGACTTATATACCGCTTCACAAGTGCTTTCCAGCCCTTCCTTCCTTCCTTCCTTCCTTCCTTCCTTCCTTCCTTCCTTCCTTCCTTCCTTCCTCTTTCTCCCTTCCTTCCTTACACTTAACAATAGCGCTTAAATTATGTACCGCTTCACAAGTGCTTTCCAGCCCTCTCTAAGCAGTTTACAGAGTCAGCTTCTTGCCTCCCAACAATCTGGGTCCCCATTTTACTGACCTCGAAGGATGGAAGGCAGAGTCAACCTTGAGTGGTCAGGATCGAACTGCTGGCTGTGGGCGGTGAATTAGCCTGCAATACTGCATTCTCACCATTGTGCCACCACGGCTTGCTTCCTTCCTTCCTTCCTTCCTTCCTTCCTTCCTTCTTCCTTCCTTCCTTCCTATTGTGCCACCACGGCTTCCTTCCTTCCTTCCTTCCTTCCTTTCCTTTTCTTTCCTTTCCTTTCCTTTCCTTTCCTTTCCTTTCCTCCCTCCCTCCCTCCCTTCTTCTCCCTTCCTTAGCACTTAGCAATAGCGCTTAGACTTATATACCGCTTCACAAGTGCTTTCCAGCCCCCTCTAAGCGGTTTACAGAGTCAGCCTCTTGCCCCCAAAAACCTGGGTCCCCATTTTACTGACCTCGGAAGGATGGAAGGCTGAGTCAACCTTGAACCAGTTTAAAAGTGCATTTTAGAAATCTTTTTTTAAAATACACTGACAGGCATTTCTAAAATTCCGTTTTCACTTTGTCATGACGGGGGTCCTGAATATAGATTAATGAGAGGGAAACACACACAAACACCCAAATTTCAACAACTGTAGCATTGGTCTGCAGTGTAAAAAAAATTGAGAAAAGCGAAGGTTTTTTTTTTGTGTGGGAATACTTCCTGAATGCACCCTAAATCCATCCATCCATCCATCCATCTCTTGAGCGAAGGAAAGCAAAGGCAAGGAATCCAGAGGGGAAAGGAAAAACTCACCTCTGATCAGGAAATAGCCCCCAATAATTAACACCAGGCCGATGGGGGCCAGGACGAACCCCGCACGATAGTGGTAGTTTTTGTACCCCACAAAACAGATGCCGCTCACCGAATCTCCATCCACCTGAAAGGATTAGAAAAGAAGAGGAACAGCAATAAAAAAAAAATTCTCGTCTCTCGTCCAATAACTCCCCTAAACACAGGTAGTCCTCAACGTACGACAGCAACGGAGCCCCAAAATGCCGGTGGTTAAGTGAAACGTTGGTTAAGTGAGTTTTGCCCCATTTTACGACTTTTCTCGCCACGGTTGTTAAGCGAATCGCTACGGCGGCTAAGTGAGTTCACCCAGTTGTTGAGTGAAATTTGGCTTCCCCATTGACTTTGCTTGCCAGGAGGTCGCAAAAGGGGATCACGTGACCTCGGGACATTGCAACCGTCATAAGTACGAGTCAGTTCCCAAGCGTCTGAATTATAATCACATGACCATGGGGACACTGCAACAGTCCGTAAGTGTGGAAAAGGGTCATAAATCACTTTTTCGAGTGCTGCTGTAACTTCAAACAGTCACTAAATGAACTGTTGTAAGTTGAGGACTGCCTGTATCATCATCATCCTCTTTTAACGACCTCATAATCCCTTGCGGGGTGGAGGCTGGGCAATTGAATGGATCTGAGTGTTTACTGGCCGGATGCCTTTCCTGTTGCCAGTGCGGAGTTTTGTTCAGCAGATATATTCTCAGAGTGCCTAGAGAGAAATACCTACCTCTACCTAGGATCGAACTCACAGCCTCCTGAGCGTGAGGCGAGAGCTTCACCTCTAGGCCACCGCTCCATTCATGAGGACTACCTGTATATATGTCATGATTAAAATAAGTAATAACAATGGTGAACCAAGTTACAGCCATAAACTAATGACGACCATAAACCGGGGTCCAAAATGTTAGAGAAACAGAGGGTCAATCACGGTTCCTGTGGGAAGAATTCTAGAATCAAGGTGCCACCACCGAGAAGAACCTGCTCTCCCCCAAAGTTCCCGAGCTCCTCCCGCTCCATTACCTGTGCCACCGCCAAGATGGCCACCGTGAGGACAAAGGGGATGGACCACGTCACCAGATGGAAGTAGGATGTCTTGCCCGCCAGTGGCTGGTAGGTGGTGCCTAGCGCCTTAAAGGAGGTGTGCCAGGCGTACGTCAGCATGACGAACCAGATCACCCCGGACATCAGGGAATAGTAGACAATCACAAAGATGATCACGCAGGAGAGGGTCTCGTTGGAGCTGTGGACAGAGAGAGAGACAGACAGATAGACAGAGACAGGGAGAGAGAAAGGAGAGAGAGACACAGAGAGAAAGAGACAGAGGCAGAGGCAGAGGAGAAGGAAGACAGATAGAGAGAGAGAGAGAGAGAGCCAGAAACAGAGAAGAGAGAGACACAGAAAGAGAGACAGACAGAGAGAGAAGGGAGAGAGACAGAGAGAGAGACAGAGAGACAGAGAGACAGAGAAGAGAGAGACATAGAAAGAGAGACAGAAGAGAAGGAAGAGAGACAGACAGAAAGAGACAGAGAGAGAAGGAAGAGAGACAGAGAAGAGAGACAGAGAGAGACGAGAACGAAGAGAGACAGAGACAGAAAGAGACAGAAGGAAGAGAGACAGAGACAGAAAGAGACAGAGAGAGAAGGAAGAGAGACAGAGACAGAGAAGAGAGACAGAGAGACAGAGAGAGAGGAGAAGGAAGAGAGACAGAGACAGAAAGAGACAGAGAGAAGGAAGAGACAGAGAGAGAGAGAGAGAGAGAGAGAGGAGAAGAGAGACAGAGACAGAAAAGAGACAGAGAAGAGAGAGACAGAGAGAGAGGAGAAGGAAGAGAGACAGAGACAGAAAGAGACAGAGAGAAGGAAGAGAGACAGAGACAGAGGAGAGAGAGAGAGAGACAGAGAGACAGAGACAGACAGACAGAGAGGAGAAGGAAGAGGACAGAGACAGAAAGAGACAGAGAGAAGGAAGAGAGACAGAGACAGAGAGAACAGAGAGAGAGGAGAAGGAAGAGAGACAGAGACAGAGAAGAGAGACAGAGAGAGAGGAAGTCAGTGAACTGTAGCTTTTCTGCAAGGAGTGCCAACCTGGTCTAGATCCCTTCAAAAGCTCTCCAGATGCCTTCAAAAGTGAGTGAAACACTCTTCTGTCTCTTCCCAAGAGCCATTCTTGGTATTCTAAATCAGGGTTACTCAACCTTGACCATTTTAAGATGCCTGGACTTCAATTCCCAGAATTCCCCATCCTTTGCACCTTCTCAGCCCCTCCCAGAACAATCCCATTTTGTCCCGCGGCCCCTTGGGAAAATTAATCGCCTGCTCTAAATAATCTCCTGCCCCATATTAAGACCATCTGATTACCCTCGAGGATGAAGGCTACACTGGGCTTCAATACTCCAGCCACGAAGAAGTCCACCAAGAAGAAGGGGAGGAATAAACATCTGTAGTCCAATTGTGGTTGGACACCAGTTCCCATAAACCTGGGACCACAACGAATGGGGTTATTGAGAATTGGGATGTTTTGGGGTCTCAAAGGCGCTTTTTCAAAAGAAAACTGGACTTTTTTCTTGAGGATGTTTCGCTTCTCATCCAAGAAGCTTCTTCAGTTCTGAATGAAGGATGGAGGATGGAAAGATTTATATTCCTTGCAGTCGTCTGGTCGTTAATACTCTCTCTGAGAGTCACTGAGGCCGCTTGGAGGTTTATCTGTGCCCTCAGGGTCACCTGAGTAGTGCAAATGGGTGTGGAGCCTTCTTGGAACTGCTGAAAAGGACTGCGTTGGAGATAGGAGATAGGCGATGTTGTACTTCTTCCTCTCTATGTTCTGCCCCAGCTACGGACCCCAAAGAACGCAGCACACACAAAGTCCGTTCAAACCTTAGTTTACTAAATAAACCAGTCTTTTACAACAACGGCTGTTAATTAACTGCATTAACAGCCGCCAAGAATTCAAAGAATAATAACTGAACGCTTACTGAGGTTGGCAGAATGCCCAGAAGCAATTTGCAGGAAGCTGATAAGATAAGCAAGACAAGACATAAAGGTATGTGAATGAAGTTGTTCCCTGCAAATTGCTTCAGTCGGTGTTCCTCCTTAAATAGGCTAAGGGAGTGGCCAATTAGCCCCAAGCCTTACTCTCGAGGAGACCTCCTCCTGAGGAGCCACTCCTGCCTTTTGGCAGCTCTGCGCGCCCGTGCATCGAGAAGAGGCTCCTCCTCTTCGTCGTCTTCACCCATGGAAGCTTCTGGAGGTTCTGAAGGCCCTGGCTGAATCCCCGCCTCTGGCACCGCATCTTCTCCAGCCTCCTCATTGTCTTGACTCAAGTGCCAGCTGCACAGGCTGTTGGCGCAACACCACACCAGCCTCCTCGCTGTCGGAATCAGCTACAATCCGCACAGGCCGCTGACGGGCCACAACACTCTATTGGGTGTGTCTGTGTGCTCAGTTTTAACACAGATGGCCTCTTTGACCCCTCTTTCGAGCCAGCGGTCCTCACTATCCAGAAGGTGGACAGAAGACTGACCATGAGGGCCCAGATAAACCTCCAAGCGGCCTCAACGACTCTCAGAGAGAGAGTACTAACGACCAGATGACTGCAAGGAATATAAATCTTCCCATCCTCCATCCTTCATTCAGAACTGAGGAAGCTTCTCGGATGAGAAGCAAAACGTCTTCAAGGAAAAACAAGCCCAGATGCCTTTTGGAAAAGCGCCTTGAGATGACCGTGACTGATTAGCTCCGAAGACACCAGTGTATCGGGGGGGGGGCTGAAGGGGTGTTCTGTAGCGTTTCGTGGGTGCAGCTCCGAGTGCAAGGGGTTCGCCAGGCAAAACCCAAAACCCACCCACATCCCTGGACCTACGTGGGCTCTCCCAAGCGCATGGTGCCGTCAGCACGGCAGACGATCTCGCCGCGGGCGCCGTCCATGAACTGGGCCAGCCAGCCGATGCTGCCCATGAAGAAGCAGGCATTAACGTAGAAGAGGATCACAGCGGGGTAACGGTTCGAATTCTTCCAGTCGGCTAAGAAGGTGGCCTGGAGGGAAAGCAGAAATAAGGTAAACTGGTTTTTAGCCATCCTGAGCTTTTCAGGTGTGCCACCAGCTAGAATTCTGGGCGTCGTAAACCTGGAGGGCGCCAGGTTGTAGAATACCAGCTAATACTTTGAAAAGCAAAGTAGAATTACTGGGAAAAGGGGTAAACCCAGTTCGGTCTAGTGGTGAAGGCACCAGCCTAGAAACCAGGAGACTGTGAATTCTAGTACTGTTTAAAGCATGAAAGCCGGCTGGGTGACTTTGGGCCAATCACCAGGAGACGGGGAGTTCTAGTCCCGCCTTAGGCATGAAAGCCGGCTGGTGACTTTGAGCCAATCACCAGGAGACGGGGAGTTCTAGTCCCGCCTTAGGCATGAAAGCCGGCTGGGTGACTTTGGGCCAATCACCAGGAGACGGGGAGTTCTAGTCCTGCCTTAGGCATGAAATCCGGCTGGGTGACTTTGGGCCAATCACCAGGAGACGGGGAGTTCTAGTCCTGCCTTAGGCCTGAAAGCCGGCTGGGTGACTTTGGGCCAATCACCAGGAGACGGGGAGTTCTAGTCCCGCCTTAGGCCTGAAAGCCGCTGGTGACTTTAGGCCAATCACCAGAGACGGGGAGTTCTAGTCCCGCCTTAGGCATGAAAGCAAGCTGGGTGACTTTGGGCCAATCACCAGGAGATGGGGAGTTCTAGTCCCGCCTTAGGCATGAAAGCCAGCTGGGTGACTTTAGGCCAATCACCAGGAGATGGGAGTTCTAGTCCCGCCTTAGGCCTGAAAGCCGGCTGGGTGACTTTAGGCCAATCACCAGGAGATGGGGAGTTCTAGTCCCGCCTTAGGCATGAAAGCAAGCTGGGTGACTTTGGGCCAATCACCAGGAGATGGGGAGTTCTAGTCCCGCTTTAGGCATGAAAGCCAGTTGGGTGACTTTAGGCCAATCACCAGGAGACGGGGAGTTCTAGTCCCGCCTTAGGCCTGAAAGCCAGCTGGGTGACTTTGAGCCAATCACCACATCACATCATCACTGCTAGAAGGGAGTGGGGTTTGCAGAGAGGAGGAGGAGGGCAACTGTGGGGTCTCTGAGCTTGGTGGTTTTCTTGCAGACATTCCATGACCCAACTAGGTTACATCATCAATGCTTAGAGAGGAGTGGGATTGGCTCTTCGTTTCTGTATCAATGTTCATGGAAATCACAACGCTCTCACTAACCCTGACAGGGCAATCCATCAGATATAAACAGAGCAAATCCCATTCTCATCGAGCACTGATGACGTTACCTAGTTGGGTCATAAGACGTCTGCAAGAAAACGACCAGGCTCAGAGAGCACCCGGGACTCCCCACAGTTCAACCCTGAACTGAAAGTATTCCCTTCTATTGGAACACAGCCATCGCTGATGGGTTTTAAGCAGTGGTGGGATTCAAATAATTTAACAACTGGTTCTCTGCCCCAATGACCGGTTGGGTGGGGTGTGGCCAGGGGTGTGTGACAGGCAGACTTGGCCTCCTGCACCCCCGGGAGCAAAAACAGGTTGCGGGGGGGGGAACGCTGTGCCCCCGGCCCCGTTTTGGGCCTAGTAGGCCTCCCTGCATCCTCCTGGGAGCAAAAAGGGGCTGCGGGGGAGAGATGCTCCATTCCCCACCCTCCACCCCGTGCCTTGGGCCAAGGAGGCCTCCTTGCACTTATCTGCAGGATGGATAAAAATCAATCATTTTTTTTTAAAAAAAAATCAAAAAAATCAGATTTTTTTTATTTAAATCGGATTTTTTTGATTTTTATCGAATTCATTTTAATAAAAAACTTTTGGGGTAAAAATCTATCGCAAGATAGTTTTCTATTTAAGATGCATAAATAATTTAGTTTATGCAGCATGAAATGGAGCTGAGTTATGTAGCAGGAGGCTGTATATTCTGCAACATTGGGACTATCGGTGAGTCAACGGTGGGTCAAAGGAGGAGCAGAGATGACAGCTGCTCTTTAAAAATTATGATTTAAATCGAGTTGGTTTAAATCGAGCCTTTTTACTAGTGATTTAAATCATAATTTAAATTGTGATTTAAATCAACTCGATTTAAATCAAATCCACCCTGCTTACAATGGAGCATGTGGGTACTCCTGGAAGGGGCAGGGCAGGGCAGGGTCAGCCAGCAATTTAACTACCGATTCGCCCGAACCGGCTGAATCCCACAACTGGTTTTAAGCCTGGAGCCCTAATCAAATCCCCCCTCCCTCTAATCCAGCCCCCAGGCCTGGCTCTCCTCGTGCTCACCAGCGTGAAAAAGGTGCAAAAAATTGTGACCGAACTGAAGGCGGCGATGTAGATGTGCATCTCGCGATGTTCCTTCTGGGTGAAAAGGGGATTCTGGCATTGGATCCCACAACCTTCCACATCCTCGTACCAACTCTTGGGGTTGTCGGTCTGCACCAGGGGGGCCTCGCATCGCCCCGAGCTGTTGAATTTAATATTCTGGACCTCGTTCTGCCAGGGAGGGGGAGGGGGAGGGGAGAGAAACGAGGACAGGGTTTACTTAGTTATTAGCTATGCTAGAACGGTCGTAAGTGTGAAAAAACATTCCTAAATCTCAAAGGGGCTTTTTTTCAGGAGGCCGCTGGACTTTCTGGTTTTTCTTTGAAGAGGTTTTGCTTCTCATCCAAGAAGCTTCCTCAGCTCTGACTGGATGGTGGGGAACGGAAGGATTGATACTCCTTGCAGACAGCATTTGGTCATTTGCATCCTTTTTGACGGTCGTTGAGGCCACTTGGAGGTTTCTCTGTGTCCTCAGGGTTATCTGAGTGGTGCAAATGTGTGTGGAGCCTTCTTGGAATTGTAGTCCTTTTGTTCCACAACCATTTGCACCACTCAGGTGTGACCCCCAAGGACACAGACAAACCTCCAAGCGGCTTCAACGACTCTCTAAAAAGGATGCAAATGACCAGCTGTCTGCAAGGAGTGTCAATCCTTCCATTCCCCACCATCAGAACTGAGGAAGCTTCTCAGATGAGAAGCGAAACGCCTTCAAAGAAAAACCAGAAAGTCCAGTTGCCTCTTGAAAAAAGCACCTTTGGGACAATCATGGCCTGGAGGACTTGAGAATCTCCATAGATATTCATAAGTCACTTTTTTCCATGCCCCCCTACCACATTGATGTCATAATTGACGATCTGCCCATGCGCCCGCTCCCGTTGTGAACCGGTAGTAAAGTTATGTAGAACCCAGGTGGACCCTTACCGGGCACCCTTCAGGGAACCGATCCGTGGTGCATTTGAGGAAGTCGGGCCAGCCTCTCTCTCGTTCCACGATGGTGCAGGGTCCCCGCGTGGCTTGGCACAAAGTCTGGCTAGGCAGTTCCACTTGGCCATCTTGGCACTTGGGCATGTACACGGCACACAAGAGAGGCTGGATCACATCCCAGCAGCGCGGCGCATTTCGCAAACCTGAGAAAACCGGGAGAGAAAGAGGAGAACAAGCTTTCCTTCGGCCACCGAGTACCGAAAACTTCCCTTGAGGACTAGAAACTTGAAAGATGCTGGCCTTTTTATAGTCCCAATTTTCTATCTAAAGAACAAAAAAAAAAAAAAAATACTGGGCATGAAGTAAGATTAAATGGGTGGTTAAGGCCAGCGGTGGGATTCAAATAATTTAACAACCGGTTCTCTGCCCTAATGACCAGCTGGGTAGGTGTGGCTTGGTGGTCATGTGACTGTGTGGGCGTGGCCAACTCAACGTCACTCACATCAATGGGCGCTTCGCCTTAGCTGTTACAATGTAACAAGGGTTAAGCAGAGAGGCAGTTTCTGTAAGCAGGGCAATAAAGATTAGGCTAGAAACACCAGCAGAACGTTTCCTCCCTGCCTTCCTTACAGGATTAGCCTTGTAAAGTGGAAAAACAAAAGGAGATTTCTTCCAACAACCAGTTCTCCGAACAGCTCAGAAAATTAACAACCCGAATAGATGCGACCTGGCTGAATCCCACCACTGGTTAAGGCCCTGGATAGCCGATGTTGTGGTTGTGGTTACTTTTAAGAGAGAGGCACAAACACGCAAAACAACATCCATACGATCAGTGCAAAAACACTTTACCCAGTTCAAATCCGTGGGTCTAAATGTTGTGTGAAGCCAGGAAATGTGGCTAGTTTAGAAGTCCGAAATTCTGCACGAATCTTAGAATCCTCGTTCAATTGTCAGATTAAGGGTGTTGTGTGAACACACACGCTGCAGGTTAACGCTCTATAAAGCCATGTTTTTCAACCTTGGCGAGTCCGTGGAGACCCCCCCCCAGGACCAACATTCCGTTGTTGGGGGTGGGAAAGCAGACTCTCACCCCGTCTACAGTGCTCATTTGGAGGTACACGAGAGATGGTAGACCCCCCCTCCCAATACCCCGGAGACCTCTGTCTAACTCCCACCCTCTCCAGAACTCGTTTTTGGGGTGCAGCAAGCCAATGGGGGACCCCTCCCTGTAGGCGTCTGTAATATCCCACCTACCCCTTGTATGATGACAGGAAAGGGGAGTTAACTCCCACCCTATATACAGGGCTCATTTTTGGGGTGCACGAGCCGTTTGAAGCCCCCCCCCCAGGACGCTCCAATCCCACGGGTGCCTTGCACGACCACCGGAGGGGGGAGAGTTGACTAGCACCCATCTCCCACTCATTTTGGGGTGCAGGAGAGGATGGGGGGCGCCTAGAACCAACTCCCCCCAGCTGTTGGTTGTAATCCATTGACGCCTTGCATGACCACTGTGGGGGGAGGAAGCTGACTCCCACTCATCTTCCTGACTCATTTTGGGGTGCAGTGAGAGGATGAGGGGGACCCCCAGCCAGGCCCATAGGACACACTGGTCCTATGTCCTATCCTACCTACCCATTTCATTTCTGCAATGGGGGAAGTTAACTCCCACCTTATCTACAGGGCTCATTTTTGGGGTGGACAAGGATTGGGACCCACCAGAACCACACTGGACCAGCACTATCCCATGGTCGCCTTCTAAGACCACGGGGGTCCCACTCCCACTCATTTTGGGGTGTAGGAGAGGATGGGGGGGCACGCCTAGAACTAACTACCCAGAGCTGTCATTCCCACCCATCTTCCCAGCTCATTTTGGGGTGCAGCGAGTGGATGGGGGGACCCCGAAGTCCAACACCCCGAAGCCAGCGATCCTATCCCACCCACACCTCCCTCCAGGGCCTCGGGGTCCCTTTGCGCATGATGCCCCAGGCGCCTTCTTTTCTTCCCTCTCCCTCTTTCTCCTCTCAGGATCGCGCGCAAGCTTCCCGGCGCAACCTTACCGGACCAGAGCAGCAGCTTGTCGTGCGCCTCCGCCTGCGAGCTCGAGTCCCCGGCCAGCAGAGTGGAGGTGGCGGCGTAGGGCAGCGGCGATCCCAAGCAGTTGCTCTCCCGGAGGGCCTCGCAGGGCGCGGCGCGTTTGCACCGATCCTCCAACGGCGAGCTGCCGTTCAGCGAAGCCGCCGCACCGAGAAGCCCCAGCCAGCAGCAGGCCAGGGCGCAGCGCAGCCGCCCGCCCCCGGCCATGGGGACCCACCGCCGCGCGCCTAGGAGCCACCGGGCTGCGCGAGCGCGGCCGGTCCCAGGACTTGGGGGGCTGCTGGGCGAGGAGGGGGCAGCCGGGGGGCGCAGCCCATGCTCCCGCTCCCTTCCCCGCGGGGGAAAGGCTTTTCCTCCGTCCCCCCCGCCCGAAGAGGGGCTCTTTGTGCGAAGGAAAGAAAGTTTGGCAAACTTTTCTAAAGTTTGGCAAACTTTTCTAAAGTTTGGCAAACTTTTCTAAAGTTTGGCAAACTGTTGCAAAGTTTGGCAAACTTTTGTAAACTTCGGGGGAAAAAAAGTTTGGCAAAGTTTGGCCGCGGCTCCCCGCCGCCTCCCGGCTTTGTTAGGCTCGGAGCTGAAGAATGCGGCGGGATCCCGGCCTCGCCTCGCCTCCGCCCGCCGTCCCGTCCCGCACAAAGCGAGCGCTCCCACCGGCTGCTTGGGCGGAGAGGAGGGCGCTCCCCACCCCAAGCAGAGGCTCGCGCCCCACAAAGGCCGCCCCGGGCCGTGGAGCCCCTACTCGGCGAGCGGGGGAAACGTGACGCTCCGAAGGCGGCCCTTCCCAAATAGGTCTCCCCCCCTCTCCCCCCTTCTCGTTCGGTCGAGGATTGTGGGAGCTGAGAGAGAAAGCGGAGGGCGCCCGGTTGCAGAAGGAGGCGCTGGGAAAAAATCATTCTTCTATTTCTGGTCTTATTCTATCCTATCCTATCCTAAATCCTATCCTATCCTATCCTATCCTAAATCCTATCCTATCCTATCCTTATCCTATTCTAAATCCTATCCTCTCCTATCCTATCCTACCTATCCTATCCTAAATCCTATCCTATCCTATCCTATCCTATTCTATTTTAAATCCTATCCTATTCTAAATCCTATCCTATCCTATCCTATTCTATTCTATTCTATCCTATTCTATCCTATCCTATTTTTTTAAAATAATTTTTATTGAATATAAATATTAAAAAAGACATACATAGCATATACACAACATTTATACAACATATACACAAAAAGAGTATAATTTCTTCTTAAGCATTTTTTCAGAGTGACATTCTACAATTCTACTTATAGTATATTCCTTCACCTCTCCTTAATCTAATAACATATATATATATATATTTAAATCGGTAATATTTCCCCCTATATTTTTTGTATATTTCTAATTTTTAACCAATTATACCAATTATTCCATATTTTGTAATAATCTGATTCTTCTCTTTCTTGTAGCTCTTTGGTTAAAAATAGGTTAACCTATTCTATTCTAAATCCTATTCTATTCTATTCTTTTCTCTTTTTTCTTTTTTCCCTTCTCTATTTTCTATTTTCTATTTTCTCTTCTCTTCTCTTCGCATACTCAGTCATAGCGTCAGAATTCTGGGTCATTGACCAAAATTAAAACCGCAACTCATTCCGGACCATTAAACAGAAGGATTTCCTCATACAAATGTCTGTTAAACAGTGGAACTCACCGCCACAGGATGGGATTCAGGAATAATTTCACTTACAACCATAATTGGGACCGCGATGTCCATTGAGGCTGGCGGCGCAGTGGACTAAGTGCTGTTAAAAGTAGCACTTAGCTGCCAGCTGCCTGCAATTACTGCAAGTTCAAATCTCACCAGGCTCAAGGTTGACTCAGCCTTCCATCCTTTCGAGGTAGGTAAAATGAGGACCTGGATTGTGGGGGCAATAAGCTGACTTTTTTATACAAAGTCAGCTTATTTTGGGGGGCCACAAGCCCTACTAAGCAGGTATATACAAAGGTGTGAAGGCTATTGCTTAATGCATTGTAAGCCGCCCTGAGTCTCCGGAGAAAGGGTGGCATATAAATCGAACTAATTAATAAATAAATAGATAAATAAATAAATAAATTGTTAAGAGCAAGGGGATTGTTAAGTGAGACGTGCCTGATTTAACGGCCCATTTTGCCACGGTGCGTTAAGCCAATCAGTGAGGTTGTTAAGCGAATCATGCGGTCATTAAGCAAATCAGGCTTCCCTCATTGACGTTCCTTGTGGGAAGCCGGCTGGGAAGGCTGCAAATGGAGATTACATGAGCCCAGGACAACGAAATTCTAAATGCATGACATTTGCCAAGCCTAAATTTTAATTATAACCGTGGGAATGCTCCAACGGTCATAAGTGTGAGGACCGGTAGCATGGTTTTGGTGGCATCTTGACTTTTTTGACTCTCTCTCTCTACACGGACAAGCCCTGCTCTCAGAATTCTCTTCCAAATAAAGGATTGATTCTTTCGATCGTTTCAGAGGCAAATCTTTCCTTCTGAGTTTTAATTTCATATTTGTTATATACTAACCGAAAGTTTTTTTTTAAATTCAGACTATTGCAATAATTTCAATATTGCAGGTAGTCCTCGACTTACGACGGCAACGAAGCCCAAAATTTCCATTGCTAAGCGAGACACTGGTTCGGCGAATTTGGGGCCGTTTTACGATCCTTTTTGCTACCGTTGTTAAGCGAGTCACCGCAGTTGTTAAGTGGTAATATAACCCGGTCGTTAAGTGAATTTGGCTTCCCCCCCATTGAGTTGGCCCGGTCAGAAAGTGGCAAAAGGGAATCACGTGACACACACACACCCCCGGGGACACAGCAACCGTCGTAAATACGAGTCGGTCATCGAGCGTCTGAATTCAGATCACGTGACCCCAGGGATACAAGTTGTAACTTCGCAACGGTCGCTAAACGAGTGGTTTGTAAGTCAAGGAGTAATCGGTATACTTTGTTTTTAATAGAAAAGGTTCTGGTCGTGGAAAATAAATAAATAAAATAAGAGGACCAATCTAACGTCTGACCTCCCCAGCCAGAAACATATTGAAAACAATCACAAACGGTGTGATCGACTTTTCGAAGAGCGGAACCTGAACCCAAGACACGGGAGAGCCTCAGCCCCAGCCCCCCCCCCGCCCACAGCCTAAAGCTTCCTGCCCTCTCCTCTTCTTCCTCGCTTCCTTTGCAAAGGAGCCTGCAATGATCCATCGGTGCCCCAAATTTGCCTAATCTGGGTCCAAAAAAACCAAACGGATGATTACAGATATTGCAATGCTGGCCGCCATCTTGACTTTTTTGACCTGCCTTGGCCAAGAGAGAACTGTTAGTCCCCCAGGCTCCTGACTTCCAGGAACCCCAGACTTCAACAGATGCTAGAAATTGGGGGAAAGACCCCTCTGCGTCTTTGGATACAGGATGGAGCCCATGGAAACGGTGGAGACTCCAATTCAGGGGTCCGGGGGGGCATTGCAGGGGACCCCCCCTTGGCCGGCTGCTGCTCTGGAACAACCCAGCAAATCTATCCAGGGGTCGAGGGGCAGCCCAGGGCCCCCCTTGCCTAGTCCAGGAGGAGCCCACCCCCCTAGTCCGGCAGGGTGTCCTTTCCCTGCCTGCCCAGCCTCTGACGTGGCACGGCCAGCCTTGAAACAGATGGGGGGGGGAAGAGGCTTCCCCACTCTCTCTCCAGAGCCCCCCCCCCTTGCTGGGAAAGCTGGGCCGGCTTGGGTGGTCCCTCTGCCCGCCCACTGCTCTCAGAGCCACGTCCCTGGGCACATCAGCAGGGAGGGGTTGGCCGCTGGTGTGGGAGGGGGGGTTCAAGCAGGGAGGGGCTGGTTGCTGGGGGGGCAGGAAGGAGGGGCTGGCCACTGGGGGAGTGTCAGCAGGAAGGGGCTGATTGCTGGGTGGGGGGCTCAGCAGGAAGAGGCTGGTTCCTGGGTGGGTGGGGGGCTCAGCAGGAAGGGGCTGGTTCCTGGGGGTTCAGCAAAGAGGGGCTGTTTGCTGGGGGGGGTTCAGCAGGGAGGGGCTGTTTGCTGGGGGGGCTCAGCAGGGAGGGGCTGTTTTCTTGGGGGAGGGGGCTCAGCAGGGAGGGGCTGCTTGCTAGAGAGGTCAGCAGAGCCAGCTGCTGGGGTGGGGGCTCAGCTGGGAGGGGCTGTTTCCTGGGGGCTTAGCAGGGAGGGGCTGTTTCCTTGGGGGGGCTCAGCAGGGAGGGGCTGCTTGCTAGGGGGGTCAGCAGGATGAGCCACTTAGGGGGTCAGCAGAGCCAGCTGCTGGGGGGCGGGGCTCAGCTAGGAGGGGCTGGTTATGGGGTGGCTGAGCAGAGTGGGACTGCTTGCTAGTGGGGTTAGCAAGGCCAGCTGCTGGGGGGGGGTTTCAGCTGCTGGGAGGGGCTGTTTCCTTGGGGGGGCTCAACAGGAAGGGGCTGCTTGCTAGGGGGGTCAGCAGGACGAGCCACTTGGGTCAGCAGAGCCAGCTGCTGGGGGGGGCTCAGCTAGGAGGGGCTGGTTCCTGGGGGCACAGCAGGGAGGGGCTGGTTCGGGGGGGGCTCAGCAGGGAGGGGCTGCTTGCTAGAGAGGTCAGCAGAGCCACTGCTGGGGGGGTTTCAGCTGGGAGGGGCTGGTTCCTGGGGGCTCAGCAGGGAGGGGCTGCTTGCTAGGGGGGTCAGCAAGGCCAGCTGCTGGGGAGGGGTTTCAGCAGGGAGGGGCTGGTTCCTGGGTCCCAGGAGGCAGGGGCTGCTTTCAGGGTGGGGGGGGGGTTTCATCATCAAGGATTCTCTCCGGGGATCATCATCCGGACAGTCAGAACATCCGGTCAAGACCACCGACAACACTGAAGGGGAGTTCAGTTTTGACCAACCATTTCTTCAGTTGCATTTTTCCACCTGGGTCTGTACAGAAGCCGGTTTAAGAAGTCTGGGCTGTGGATAAGAGCCCCCCACTCCCCAAAATGGAAAGATGGTTTCAAACCCCCCACCCCCACAACCTTGGTCCTGTAAGGATTTTGATTCGGAGCCCTTTGACCAGCCTCCTCGGCTTCATCTTGGTAGTAATGAAAAATGGGACCACAAAAATGACACAGGCACAGGCCCGTTTTTCACTCTTCCCAGGCTCCAGAGCCTTTCTAGGAGCCTGGGGAGGCCAGAAACAGCGTGTTTCCTGACTTCCGGTGGGCCCAGAAGGCCCGAAAATCTGCTGGCCGGCGCACATATGTGTGCCAGAGCTGAGCTCGCGTGCCCACCGATATGGCTCCACGTGCCACCCGTGGCACCCGTGCCATAGGTTCGCCATCACGGGATAAGACTGCTGGCTGGGGAATTCTGGGAACTGGTCCACTCATTGCCACACTCCACTACAGATACCATAGTCCTCCATTTACAATCGTTCGGTTTAGTGACCGTTGGAAATTACAATGGCACTGAAAAAGTGATTTGTGACCGCTTTTCACACTTACAACCGTTGCAGCATCCCCACAGTCACATAATCAAAATTCAGACGTCTGGCACCTGACTCGTATTTATGACGGTCGCAGTGTTCCAGGAGGGGGTCCCTTGATCCCCTTTTTGTGACCTTCTGACAAGCAAAGTCAATGGGGAAGCTGGATTTGCTTAATGACTGTATTCCTAACTTAACCACTGCAGCGATTCGCTTAACGACTGTGGCAAGAAAGGTCGTAAAATGGGGCAAAATTCATTTAACAAATGTCTGGTTAAGCAACATCAATTTTAGGCTCAATTGGTCGTAAGTCGAGAACGACCAGTATGTGCCATAAAGTTGGGTGAACTCTTAGTGACCACGTAGATGTTCTCCAGGATGTCCCCAATCTGATTCTGGGCTTCCAACGGTTCACCCATTCTAGCCGAGTCCATCTCCCTGGTCTTCCTCATCTCTTTCTTTCCATCTGTAAAAATCTAGAAGTTAGGTCTTCAACAAAGTGTCACATCAAACAAGAGCCATAGGTCACAAATCTGTCCCAACCTCAGAAACTTCTCCAGAAGTTAGGTCTTCAAACAAAAGTGTCCATAATAGATGATCTGAGCCAAGTCATAAATGACTTGAATGAGTCTTCTAAGACAGGGGTCTCAACCTTGGCAACTTTAAGACTTGTGGACTTCAACTCCCAGAGTTCCTCAGCCAGCTGCTGAGGAACTCTGGAGTTGCAGTCCACAAGTCTTAAAGTTGCCAAGGTTGGAGACCCCTGTTCTAAGTTGTCTTCTCCAACACCCAAGTTCAAAACCTTGTCAATGCTCTTCTTATGCTGCTCCTTCAAAGTCCACCTTACGGGGGATCTTCTTCCTAAATTCAGGAGAAAGGGAGAAGGTGGTGTCCACCTCTAAAGTTCCTGGAAGCTTAGCTGGATGGAGATCTTTCCAGTTCCTGAAGGCATCCAAGCAGGAAGTTCTTGGACATCTTCTGCTCCTCAACCAAGGGGCTCCTTTGATGCCCGTCCTTGACTACCAATAATCGGTCTGGTGTCGCTGGTTATAGCTCAGGAACTTGACCTGGTCTTTGATTTGACTGACCAGGACTTGGGACAGCAGGATGCCAATCAGCTGCGGCCGGTGGGTTGGGGGAAAAAGGGAGAGAAACACAAAAGGACACAAAACGTGAGAAGAGTTGAGCCTGTCTCATCAACGGGGCAGAACTCACTTAACGAAGGTCTCCCTTTGCAACGGAAATTAGGGATTCAATTGTCTATGGCCGCCTGTTATCCCAGGGAGGTTCATTCTGAGTTGGGATGGTCACTAAGGGAACAACAGTGGTACGTCGAGGACTAGCTTCAATTTGGATTGGGCTGCACCCGTGATCACACTGCCTCTGGAAGGAGATCCTGTGTTGTGTGTTTATTAGTTCAATTTATTAGTTCAATTTATTAGTTCAATTTATTAGTTCAATTTATATGCCACCCTCCTCCGAAGACTCAGGGCGGCTTACAATGCACTTATAGAAATAGCCTTCATTCTTTTGTATATACCTGCTTATTAGGGCTTTTTGGCCCCCCTATAAGCGGTGTGTCTACAAAGTCAGCTTATTGCCCCCACAATCCGGGTCCTCAATTTACCTACCTCGGAAGGATGGAAGGCTGAGTCAACCTTGAGCCTGGTGAGATTCGAACTTGCACTAATTGCTGGCAGCTAAGTGCTACATAACAGCACTTAGTCCGCTGCACCACCAAGGCACCTAGCAAAAATTGAGAACGGAGTCCTTACTCTTTGTGTGTACATTGAGAGCTTTAGCACCGGAGACAAATTCTTTGTGTGTCCCATCACGCTTGGCCAATAAAGAATTGAGTTCTGTTCCCGTTCCTATTCTATCCCTTATTCTATTCCTCATCGGTCTCCTTCGAGACAACGAGGAATCCGCATAGAGACGGGAGGTTGAACAACTAGCCTCGTGGTGCGATCGGAACAATCTGGAACTGAACACACCCAAAATCGTAGACATGGTGGTAGGCTTTAGGAGAAACCCTCCCATACTTCCACCTCTCACAATACTGGACAACCCAGTATCAGCAGTAGAGACCTTCAAATTTGTAGGTTCTACCATATTGCAAGATCTAAAATGGACACCCAACATCAAAAACATCATCAAAAAAGCACAACAAGGAATGTTCTTTCTGCACCAACTCAGGAAGCTCAAACCGCCCAAGGAGCTGCTGATCCAGTTCTACAGAGGAATTATGGAGTCTGCAATCTGCACCTCCATAACTGTCTGGTTTGGCTCTGCAACCCAACAAGACAGACACAGACTTCAGAGGATCGTTAGAACGGCAGAAAAAACAATGGCTACCAACCTGCCTTCCATGGAGGACTTGTCTACTGCACGAGTCAAAAAGAGGGCTGGGAAAATATCTACAGACCCCTCGCATCCTGGACATCAACTGTTTCAACTCCTACCCTCAAAACGATGCTACAAAGCCTTGCACACCAGAACAACTAGACACAAGAACAGTTTTTTCCCGAACGCCATCACTCTGCTAAACAAATAATTCCCTCAACACTGTCAAATTATTTACTAAGTGTATTACTATTATTCTTCTCTTCCATATAGCATCTATCTCTTCCCACTTATTACTATAACTATGTTGCTTGCATCTTTCAATTATATTGTTTTTATTTGTTTCTGTTGTGGTTTGCTAGCAGCCTGCAGGGCTGGCAACGGAGTCGGACAGCGATGAGGCTGAGGAAGAACAGGGGCCAGTCCTGGAGGCTGGGGAAGGCCCGGATGAGGGCTCTGCATCGGAGGCAGAGATGGGGCCAGGGCCATCGGGGAGTGAGGTGCGGACTCCGGAGCCTCCAGAGGCTGACAGCAGAGAGGCAGAGGAACAGGAGGAGCCTGTTCCTAATGCACGCATGAGAAGAGCTGCCAGAAGGCAGGAGCAGCTAAAGCAGAGAGGACGACTCAGGAGAAAGGCCAAGAGATGATTGGCCTCTCCCATAAGGCTTAAAAGACCAGCAATGGCTCTTGGGCTCTTTGTCGGAAAACAACGTTGATCGTCTTGCTGCACTTATCTCTTGTCGGTGTCTTCTGTTTCTGAACTTTTGCCAAGAGAAGCCTTTGGCAGTTTGCCTAATTATACCAAGGTTGGTGATTAGACTGAAGAATTTGTGTCATGAAGAGTTTGTTTTAATTTAGTTTGGACTACGCTGAGAAGGAGTTAATTCTCAGCTGTTCTAATAAAGTCTGTTTGTTTTGGAACTGTTTGCGTTGATTATTACCTACTTGGGCCTGGATCACAAAACTTTCCTAGTACGATTTGATAACTTATTAGTAACCGTGACTATCGCTAAGTGTTGAATCTTTTTATTCTTGATTGATGAATGTATTTTATTCTCCTTATGTACACTGAGAACATATGCACCAAAGACAAATTCCTTGTGTGTCCAATCCCACTTGGCCAATAAAGAATTTTATTTTATCCTATTCTATTGTTCCATATTCTTATTCCTTATTCTTCTCCTTACCTGGGGGAGCGTGAGGCCCAGGGCCACGGCCCCGATGAGCAGGAGGTTGCTGTGCATCCAGTCCACCAGCCTCTCGATGCAGCCGTTGGTGTGAATGACTTCGCCCGCTATGGAGTAGCTGAGGGTCTGCACTCCTTTACCACACATAGTGTTGATGACCAACTGGGCGGAAAAAGGCCAAAAAGGGTCACACGCAAAGAAGGATTCCCAGGCAAGGCTATACCCCAAGCCAGCATCCATGGACTTATTCACCTGGAACTATGGCCCTTTAAATATCCCATGTGCAGGGGTGAAATCCAGCAGGTCCTAACAGGTTCTGGAGAACCGGTAGCAGAAATTTTGAATAGTTCGGAGAACTGGCAAATACCACATCTGGCTGGCCCCAGAGTGGGGTGGGAATGAAGATTTTGCAGTATCCTTCCCCTGGAGTGGGGAGGGAATGGGGATTTTGCAGTATCCTTCCCCTGGAGTGGGGGAGGGAATGGGGATTTTGCAGTATCCTTCCCCTGGACTGGGGAGGGAATGGAAATTTTGCAACATCCTTCCCCCAGGGTGGGGAGGGAATGGGGATTTTGCAGTATCCTTCCCCTGGAGTGGGGTGGGAATGGGGATTTTGCAATATCCTTCCCCTGGAGTGGGGTTGGGAATGGAGATTTTGCAATATCCTTCCTCCAGGAGTGGAGAGGGAATGGAGATTTTGCAATATCCTTCCCCTAGAGTGAAGTGGGAATGGGGATTTTGCAGTATCCTTTCCCCAGGAGTGGAGAAGGAATGGAGATTTTGCAGTATCCTTCCCCTGGAGTGGGGTGGGAATGGGGATTTTGCAGTATCCTTCCCCTGGAGTGAAGTGGGAATGGGGATTTTGCAGTATCCTTCCCCTGCCACGCCCACCAAGCCACGCCCACAGAACCAGTAGTAAAAAAATCTGAATTTCACCTCTGCCCATATGGTTTTTTTTCCCAGGGCAGCGAGTAAATAAGAAAGAATGGCCACATTTGGGGAAAACAGGAATGTAAAAGGGTTTCTCCCCCAAATATTGGCAGACTGAGTAAAAATGTTTTACTTTTAAAACACACACAGGTGCGTGCATCCAGACGCACAAAGTTAGATTTCCCTTGTAAAAGAGCATTGGGGTTTAAATTTACATAATTCAGTGTACAGAGTTGGCAATGGGAACATTCATGAAGACAATTTACAGGTAGATCTCGACTTTCAAGATTTCACTTAGTGGCCATTCAAAGTTACAATGGCACTGAAAAAAGGGACTTTATTGTCGGTCCGTTTTTCACACTTACGACCGGGGCAGCCTCCCCGTGATCAAAATTCGGATGCTTGGCCACTGACTCGTACTTATGACGGTTGCAATGTCCTTCTGATGAGCAAAGTCAATGGGGGAAGCCAGATTTCACTTAACAACCGGGCTACTAATTTGACAAGTGCAGTGCTTCACTTAGCAACTGCAGCAAGAAAGCTCGTAAAACGGGACAAAGCTCACTTAACAAATGTCTCACTTAACAACCGAAATGCTGGGCTCAATTATAGTCGTACGTCGAGGACTACAGAATTATGATTCTATGTCAAGGATTACCTGCGTTGCTATATATCTTCCTTGTACACCATCCAGAGTCAGTTCTCGTGAGATGGACGGCCGTATTAGTTTCATTCAGTAGCGGGTTTCAATTTAGTTTGCTACCGTTCGCTCCAGGGATGGGTTCTAAATTTTTTTACTACCGGTTCTGTGGGTGTGGCTTATTTTGTGGGCATGGCTTGGTGGGGGGGTAATGTGACTGGGTGGGCGTGGCCAACTTTTTTTTTTATTACTTTTAAAAGCATTTTTTCTACAACCTTAAGAGGTTGCAGAAAAAAAATGCTTTTAAAAGCCTCTGACGATCAGGCAACTCAGCTGGGATCGTCAGAGGCTTTTAAAGGCTTTTTTTTTTTTCCTACAACCTCTTCGGCTGAAAAATGCTATTAAAAGCCTCTGACGATCCCAACTGAGCCGTGCGATCGTCAGAGGCTTTTTTTTTTTTACACTTTTAAAAGCATTTTTTCTACAACCTCTTCCGCCGAAAAAAATGCTTTTAAAAGTAAAAAAAAGAAAAAAGCCTCTGATGAGGTGGGCGGGGTAAGCGAGCGGCGACCGGGCCGGGGACTTGTTCGGGGGTGTGGCCAGCCAATGTTATTACCGGTTCTCCGAACTACTACAAATTTTTACTACCGGTTCTTGCAAACCGGTGCGAACCGGGAGCAACCCACCGCCGGTTCGCTCGTGAGCGTGCGCGACGCTTCTGTGCATTTGCAGAAGTATCTGGATGGGTAGGCGGAGCCTCCCTCTGCCCCGCAACCCACCACCGATTTGACTTAAAAAGAAAGAGATAACCCCGTGATTTTGGATTGGTCTCTTCCCTGCCCACCTGGACTTCATCATCCCCACCAAGAGAGAGCCTTCCATTTTGTCTCACCTGGCCTTTCGGTTGCCGGCAACAGGAATAAGGCACCGAGCAAAATTCCCGGCTGGGATTTTGGGGTGTGCAATTGAAGTACATGTTTTGGGACCAGTCCCTGTAGGAGACGCCCCCACAGCAGCCGAACTACGTGGAAAGGAAGGAGAGGCACTTCATCAATCATTTTTTCGACGCCTTCGACAACTTTGAACAGTGGCTAAATAAATGTTTGTAGGACCCTAAGAAAGAGTGCAGAAGTAGAGCAACGAAGATGATTTTAGGGGACTGGAGGCTAAAACATAGGAAGAACGGGTGCAGGAATTGGGTAGGTCTAGTTTAATGAAAAGAAGAATTAGGGGAGACATGAGAGCATCTTCTAATATTTGAAGGGCTGCCACAAAGAAGAGGGAGTCCATCTATTCTCCAAAGACCCTGAAGGCAGGACAAGAATCAACGGATGGAAACTAATCCAGGAGAAAAGCAATCTGGAATTGAGGAAAAAATTCCTGAAAGTTAGAATAATTAACCAGTGGAACAGCTTGCCACCAGAAGTTGTGGGTGCTCCATCACTGGAAGTTTTTAAAGAAGAGACTGGACAGTCACTTGTCTGAAATGGTACAGGTGATCCCTGGACTAGAAGACGTCCAAGATCCCTTCCAGCCCAAGGATCCTTTGAAGCATCAGAGTACTTCTGTTCTGTCCCCAACCACACGCACACACACCAACAGACATTCAAGAGTTAAAGACCAAACCAGCCGGCAAAATCCTTTTCCTTATGATAACAGAACTTGGCAACAACCTAGTGGCTGCCTGCCAAGAGTTTATTTTTTACAAAGAGAAGAGATAGCTTCTCCCCACTCCTGGTACATCAAAAGAAACAGCTCAATAATTATGGAGTTAATCAAGTTCAGAGATAATCCAGCAAAGTCTATAGCCAAAAGTCCGGCAATGCAGAATGGTGTGGAAGCTTTCAGCTTTGTTCGTCACAAGGTTTGACTGGCCACCACGCTCCCTTTTATACCCTGTGGGGTGTGGTCCAGTGACTCAGCCTAATCTCGGGCACGCCTTTTCTTCTGTTGCGCGCGCTTATCTCTGTGACGCTGGCGTGGATCCAGCCAAGACTCATTACCCTCATTACTGTCCATCTGTGGCTGCGTGGACGTGCTTGGCCCCGGCCCTATCTCTTGCCCTTCGGCGGACACCAAAGGCATTGCCAGAGAGGAGGGTCCTGGAGAGGGAGGCCTTGCCAACTCCTCTCCTTCGCTCTCGGAGTCCTCTCCTGCCGATGACACAGGCTCAGGTAACGGAGCCACAACAACATCATAATCATGATTAAAAAAAACACACACCCTAGTTCTAGACTGTCCTTCAAAGATCTAGGTTCTCACAGGTCTTCTAAGTACCAGGTTATCCCACCACCAGCTTCAATTCGAAAGGGAGGGTGGGGCTCCAGCATGGACAACCTCTCGGTCCTGGCCTTCCTTTGTCATTGGGCAACCCAACCAGCTGTTGGGTTTCGAAGACCAAAGGAAGACTGGATGGTCCCACCAAACCCTACCTCCTTCTGACCAAAATCGATCAGGTTCTGCAGGTCCAAGTCATCTCGGTAGTGCACAATGGCGTTATTGACCATGTCACTCATCTTCTCTCGTGCCTGGAACAAAAAAAATGACACCAGCATGTAGACATATATACTGCTTCACAGTGATTTCCAGCCCTCTCTAAGCAGTTTACAAAGTCAGCCTCTTGCCCCCAACAATCTGGGTCCTCGTTTTATCCACCTCGGAAGGACAGAAGGCTGAGTCAACCTTGAGCCAGTCAGAATTGAACTGCTGGCAGTGAGCAGAGTCAGCCTGCAATATTGCAGTCTAACCACTATGCCACCAAGGCCCTTCCTTCCTTCCATCCTTCCTTCCTTCCTTTCTCCTTCCTTATTTCCTTCCACCCATCCTTCTTTCCATCTTCCCATCCTTTCTCTACTTTCTCTCTCCCCCTTCCTTCCTTCCCTCTTTCCTTCCTCCCTCCCCTATGTTCCTTCCTTCCATCCCTCCTTCATCTCTGTCCTTCCTCCCCCTTCCTTCCTTCCTCCCTCCCTCCCTTCCCACTTACCACTAGCACATAGACTTATATACCGCTTCACAGTGCTCTACAGCCCTCTCTAAGAGGTTTACAGAGGCAGCCTCTTGCCACCAACATTCTGGGTCCTCATTTTACCCGCCTCGGAAGGACGGAAGGCTGAGTCAACCTTGAGACGGTCAGGATCGAACTCCTGGCAGTGGGCAGTGAGTTAGCCTGCATTACTGCATTCTCACCACTCCACCACCACGACCCTTCCTTCCTTCCTTCCTTCCTTCCTTCCTTCCTTCCTTCCTTCCTTCCTTCCTTTTCCTCCCTCCCTCCCTCCCTCCCTCCCCACTTAGCGCTAGCTTTTAGACTTATATACCGCTTCACAGCCCTCTCTAAACGGTTTACAGGTCAGCCTCTTGCCCTCAACCATCTGGGTCCTCATTTTACCCACCTCGGAAGGATGGAAGGCTGAGTCAACCTTGAGACAGTCAGAATCGAACTCCTGGCAGTGGGCAGTGAGTTAGCCAGCATTACTGCATTCTCACCACTGCACCACCACGACTGCATAAGAGGTCGGATCACCCAAAAGAACCTTTTTCCTGAACAAATGATATTGATGTAGAGTTTTATGCAGGCTGGAGTTTTTCTGCACCCACCTTGTCCGAAAAGACGAATCCAAGAACGCCCGCAGCCAGCTGCAGCAGGAAAAGGAGGGCCAAACAGAAGGAAAACTGCAAGGACAAAATATTTCTTTTTTAGTCAATTTCTATACCCCCCCCCCCCCCCCCCCCCCCCCACATCTCAGTCAAGGACTCTGGGACAATTCAAAGAAATATATAGTTAAGTCCTGCCACTTACGACCACAATTGAAACCACAATCCCCATCATAAGGAAATTGAGTCATCACAGGACGAGACCCGATTTTACCAAGCATTATTCCATGGTCATAAAGCGAAGCACCATTGTTGTTAAACAAGTCCAGATTCCCCAAGCGATATTTGTCAGATTATTCATGAACTGGCAGAGACATGGTAACAAGGTCAGCCAATGAATAGGCATAGCAACTAAGTCAGCCAATTGGAAGCTGAGACAGACTGGAGCCAGGGCGTGTCTTAGTCTGCAGCTTCTGAGTCTGTGCAGAGAATTGAAACTGAAACTAAGCAGTCTGTGCATGCTGTCTCCTCTGCTGAAATGAAACTAACTGTTCTCTCCTGCCTTGTGATCTGCCTGTAACCTCTACCACGTTGAAAGAACTCTGCTGTTGGTATTGTATATATATTCTTGTCAATAAAGAAGTTTCTTATTTAAATGAATCCTGCTGAATCAGTTTATCTGTGTGTGCTTCTGGATTTGATTTTTGCAACAAACTCCAACAATATTTCTACTGGAAACAACGGGGAAGGTTGCCATTCACGCCACTCCAGAAACCACCGTCATAAGTACATGCCAGTTGCCACTCAAATTTTGATCATGTAACCGTGGGGATGCTGTTGACCGTCGTAAGTGTGAGGATCAATTGTAAACCACTTTTTTTAATGGGCGTTGTAACTTTGAACAGACACTAAACAAACGGTTGTAAGCAGAGGCCTAATTGTTATTTTTAAAACGGTGCATCATATTTTCTTCCATTATGAATTTTGTAAGAGTTTTCAGCAGGATATTATCCAGCCTTTTTAAAAAAATCGATGCCAAGGCATTTCTGAACAAGTTAAAATTTTACTTTCAGATAAACACTCTAAAATTACAGCAGCAATTTTTCGACCGAGCTATAGAAACAAAGTTACACATCCTGAATTTGATCTGTAAACACTTCGTGTGATATTTATCAATTGAATTGTTTTTGATAAAACTGTTTTCATCTCCAGCCAAATCTGTGGCTGTAAATAAAAGTTCCTTTGTGAATTTATTTCTTTTCAGCTAGGAGTCTCTAAGGAGGGTCACGCAGGAAAAAAAAAAACCTTTCTCAAATTAGAAATTAAGAACTTTTTAGTGTATAGACTGAAAGTGCTTAGAGAGGGCAGTAAAGCACTGTGAAGCGGTATATAAGTTTAAGCGCTATTGCTAAGTGCTAAGAAAGGAAGGAAAGGAGAAAGAAAAGGAAGGAAGGGGAGAGAGAGAAACGAGATGAAGGGATGGTGAAGGAAAGGAGCGGGAAGGAAGGAAAGGAGATGGAAGGAAGGAAGGAAAGAAAGGAGAGGGAAGGAAGGAAGGAAGGAAGGAAGGAAGGGAGAGGGAAGGAAGGAAAGGAGAGGGAAGGAAGGAAGGAAAGAAAGAAAGAAAGGAGAGGGCAGGAAGGAAGGAAGGAAGGAAGGAAGGAAGGAAAGAAAGAAAGAAGAGGGCGGGAAGGAAGGAAGGGAGAGGGAAGGAAGGAAGGGAAGGAAGGAAGGAAAGGATGGGTGATGAGAAGGAAGGGAGGAAGGGTTAGGATTAGGAGGGAGGGAGGGAGGAGAGGAGAGGGAGAAGGAAGGAAAGAAAAGCCCTGGTCGCACAGTGGTGAGTTGCAGTATTGCAGGCTAACTCTGCCAACTGGCAGCAGTTCAATCCTGACCAGTTCAAAGTTGACTCAGCCTTCTGTCCTTCCGAGGTTGGCAAAATGAGGACCCAGATTGTTGGGGGTAATAGGCTGACTCTGTAAATCGCTTAAAGAGGGCTATAAAAGCATTGTGAAGCGGTATATAAGTCTATTGCTAAGTGCTAAAGAAGGAAGGGAGGGAGAAAGAGGGATGGATGGATAGAAGGAAGGAAGGAAGGAAGGAAGGAAGGAAGGAAGGAAGGAAGGACGGACTATGGTGATGCAGTGATTAGAATGCAGCATTGCAGGCTGACTCTGCCACACTGTAAACAGTTCGATCCTGACCAGGTCAGTCAAATGAGGACCCAGATGGTTGGTGGGGTAAGAGGCTGACTCTGTAAACCGCTTAGAGAAGGCTCTAAAGCACCTGTGAAGCGGTATATAAGACTAAGGGCTCGTGCTATTCCTATCATTGACCATTCATGGAGGCCCACCGCTCACCGTCAGCAGCAAAGGGATGTTCTCCCGCATGGAGCCCACGCAGCCACAGAACGTGATGAAGAACATCAGGACACCAATGACCACGAGCAGGACGGCCGGATCCATAGCAAGACAAGCCACAGCTGCTTCTACCGAGGAAATGGAGAGAAAGGCTTCCAGACCCCAAACCCTCCCTTTCCTTTCCCCACTCCTCTGCACTCATTGGCCATCTTCCAAGTCACTCTACCCCTAATCTACTGCTCCAGCTCGAAGGAATTTCCCCCCTCCCATCCCATCTCCTAGGGGATATTATCTCCAGGAAAAATAAGTAGGTGAAAAGTCAAACGTCCCTTTCCAGATGCCTCCGCTTCTCCTTCTTATGTCAGCACTAGAGTAAATGCAGCTTGAAGTGCTGACACCTTACCTCCATGCTTGAACAGACGTGCATAGATCCCGACGGCCACCAACACCACGGAAATCACCTGTACAAAAAAACAGCCAGGAGCATTAGAACTGGTCCTTGGTCAGGAACGGCAGTCCAAAGGATCAGGGAGATCCATCTTTCCAAGTTCCTTGAACCCCCAGATCTGGAGAACAAGAGTGGGGAGTTACAAGCCTGGAGAGTTTACCATAAACCTCCAGGTTTTTCAATAAAGAATACTTGTATTCTTGTTTGGAGAATATTTGTAATTGGGGGTTGAAATAAGGGCTCTTTGGTGCTCTCTGAGTTTGGGGGTTTTCTTGCAGACATTTCATGACCCAACTAGGTAACATCATCAGTGCTAGAAGGCTTTGCAGACAGGAGGAGGAAGAGGAGAAGGAGAAAGAGAAGGGAGAGAAGAGGAGAAGAAAAACTGTGGAGTCCTTGGTGCTCTCTGAACTTGGTTGTTTTCTTGCAGATGCTTCATTTCCAAATTAGATAATATTATCAGTGCTAGAAGGGAGTGAGATTTCCTCATCATAGTACTGATGATGTTCCCTAGTTGGGTCATGAAACGTCTGCAAGAAAACCACCAAGCTCAGAAAGCTCACAATTCTCCTCCTCCTCCTCTCCCTTCTAGCACTGATGATGTTCCCTAGTTGGGTTATGAAATGTCTCCAAGAAAACAACCCAGCTCAGAGACCACCAAGGACCCCTCAAGTTTTTCAATAGAGACGTTTAGAACTTCACTAAATCCTGGCCACCTCCCTCACGGGATATTTCCTCTGTATTTTTATCCACCGGGGATACTATTTATCCCATCCCACAATTGGATAGAAGGGCCTTTTGTATATTTTGGGGACAGAACAGGACAAATCTCTCCCCCCCCTCCTTCCCATATTGCTTATTGAAGAACCCCTCCCATTAGGGCAAGATCTAGATTGGCATTTCTCAATCTCAGCAACTTTAGGTTTGGGGGGAAGTTCAACTCTCTCCAAATTCCCCAGCTGGCTCAGCGACTTTAAAGATGGGTGGACTTCCTCCAAGAATTCCCCCACCAGCCAGCTCAGCAATTTTAAGCCGAGTGGGGGATTCTGAGAGTTGAAGTCCACCCATCTTTAAGTTCTTGAATATTAGTGGACGGCTGGGTAACTATGGGAACTTTTTACCTGTGGACTTCAACTCCCAGAATTCCCGAGCCAGCTGGCTCGGGAATTCTGGGAGTTGAAGTCCACAGGTGGTCAAGCTGTCCAACCTACTTTTGAGCAACCCAACTACATCACTTCTTGCAAGCTCCTTGGATGGGAGGCACATCCTAATTGTGGCCAGCAAAACCCATCTGGGGGGGCGGCTCAGAAGCCCCTTGCCCAGCTGGAGCGGCCAAGGACGGATCTGGGGCAGCCCCTCCGTTTTCCAAACTCAACCTTCCCAGTTCCCACGTCCTGCTCAGTCTCCTATCCCGGGTTGAAGGAGACGCTCGGGGCTCAAACAAGGCAGAAGGGTGGAAGTCTCGCTTTTTAAGACCACCAACCCCCCCAGACCCATTTTGGGGCAGCCTCGATCCTCAAGGGGGGGTGGGATCCTGCTTCCAACACGGGTCAGATGGAAGGAGTGAGTTCCAGCTTTCTTTCCGCCGGTCGTGGCTTGTTGCAGGTGGCTCAGTAGCTAAGACGCTGAGCTTGTCGATCAGAAAGATCGGCGGTTCGAATCCCTGGTCCAGGTCTCCAGGGGTTGGACTAGATGCCCTCCAAGGTCCCTTTCCACTCTTAAGAGCTTTAGCCGTTGAAATGCACGCCTTCCCACGAGCGGCGCGTCTCCAGAGGGTGGGATAATAGAAGCACCGGGGATTGGGCGCCCCCCTGCACCCCCCCTGCAAGAGGGGGCTCCTCCAGCGCTCCTCCCGCTGGATCCGGATCCCGCATTCACATTCTACACGCGTGCACTGCCCCTTCCCACGTCTCCTCCTGCCCGACTCACCCAGAAAAGCAGGTTGAAAAAGAAGAGCAGGTACTTGACCAGGGGGCTGACCCCACGCTCCCCGGGAAGGGCCATATCCCTGGCTTTTTTTTCCAGCGGTCCCGGGTGCAAGCAAGTCCAGCTTCCCTCCAGCCAGCCAGCCAGTCCGGTCCAGCCAACACCGGTTCGCGCAGCTCTTTACTCTCTTAAGGTGCATCCCTCCCCACTCGCCAAACGGCGCGGCGATTGGTCTGGCTGGGTTTTCACTTTTTTTCCCCATTGGCCACCCCCCGTTTCATTCACTCCCCGCTCCCCTCCTCTTCTTTAGAGCGCCGGGTTTCCCCGCCACCTGCCCCGCCGATCAGCTGGAGGACGAAACTCTCTTAAGGGAGCCGCGTAAGCGCTAAAGCGGAGGGCGGCGCGCCCTGCGCGAAAGGGACGGGTTCCCACGCTGTCAAAATGACTTTGTCCCTTTTTTTTTAAAAAAAAAAGTTTTTTATTATTTTTGGAAACATGTTTATGTTTAACTTTCAAAAAATAATAAACATTTTTTTTTTTAAATGACTTTGTAGGACCATTTTGCAAAAAGAAGCCTGGATAGCTCAGCAGACTAATGCATTGTGATTAACAACAGCTGTCAGCAATTACTGCAGGTTCGAATCTTACCAGGCTCAAGGTTGACTCAGCCTTCCATCCTTTCTAAGGTAGGTAAATTGAGGACCCAGTTTGTGGGGGCAATAAGCTGACTTTGTACAAATATACAAAAGGATGAAGGCTATTGCTTAGCGCATTGTAAGCCGCCCTGAGTCTCCGGAGAAGGGCGGCATATAAATCAAAATTAAAAAAAAAACAACCACACATATACCTGGAAATAAGAGAGCTGAGAACGTTGAACAGTTCAAAGCATAAAAATGCCATCTTTGTCATAGAAAGCCTCTGATCCCAGGCTCAATTGATCCTACTTTAGAGTGGTGTTAGTTACCAAGAGCTAAATTTCTAGAGAAGTCACTTACAGGCAGTCCTTGAGTTATGAGCACAGGTAAAGGTAAAGGTTCCCCTCGCACATATGTGCTAGTCGTTCCCGACTCTAGGGGGCGCTGCTCATCTCTGTTTCAAAGCCGAAGAGCCAGCGCTGCCCGAAGACGTCTCCGTGGTCATGTGGCCGGCATGACTCAATGCCAAAGGGGCACGGAACGCTGTTACCTTCCCACCAAAGGTGGTTCCTATTTCTCTAATTGCATTTTTTACCTGCTTTCGAACTGCTAGGTTGGCAGAAGCTGGGACAAGGAACGGGAGCTCGCCCCGTTATGCGGCACTCGGGATTCAAACCACTGAACTGCCGACCTTCCGATCGACAAGCTCAGCGTCTTAGCCAAGGATACTGCAAAATCTGCATTCCCACCCCACTCCTGGGGGAAGGATATTGCAAAATCTCCATTCCCACCCACTCTGGGGCCAGCCAGAGGTGGTATTTGCCAGTTCTCCAAACCAGCGGTCACCAACTGATGGTCCACGAGAAAATTTTGGTGGTCCGCAGAAAAATTATTTGCATTTTTTTATATTGCACTAAATCAGGGGTCCTCAAATTACAGCCCCTCGGCCGGATTCGTGCAATGAACGTTTGTGTTGCTGCAGAGAGTCTCCCCCTTCGTGGTCTTTTTGTGTGGGTCGGAGGGGGGCAGAAATTCCGACTTGGGGTCTGCTTCAGCCTTCTGGTGGGGGGCTTTGGGCGAAGGCTGGTGGCAAAGAGCCGGAGAGCCTCGTTCCAGTGGGACTGCATCATGGCCTGGAACTGGCTGACCATCTCAGCCCGCTGAGCCTCCAGGTGCCGGTACCTGGCTTTGCACTCCTGCAGGTCTTGCCTCTGCTTGGAAAGCCTATGCTCCTAGTCCTCAGTGAGGTGCTTCTGCTGAGCCTCCTTCTCGGTCTGATCCAATTTGAACTGAGCTGTTTTCCCAACTCTTTCTCGTGGTGGCTGCTTAGCTCCAGCAACTGCTTCTGTTGGGTCCCTAAGGCGCCTGAGCAGGCAGGTGAGGAGGGGCTGGGAGGGGAGGGGTGAGTAGAGGCCGGCAAGGCGCCCCTCAACATGAGTGACATGGAGTTGACCATGCCCACCCAGTCACATGACCACCTAGCCACGCCCACCCAGCTGGTCATTAGGCAGATCGTATTAGTGGTCCGCGGGATTTAAAATTATGAATTTAGTGGGTCCCTGAGGTCCGAAAGGTCGGTGACCCCTGCTACAAACTGCTCAAAATTTCCGCCACCGGTTCTCCATCCCTGATACAGGGTCTTCTGTTCAAGCAGAGGGTTGGACTAGAAGACCTCCAGGGTCCCTTCCATCTCTGTTACTCACCTATGCTATAACAATATATTATTTATCTAGCAGTTATTTACTTACCACATTTTAAAACCATCCATCTCACTCCCAGAAGGATGATGGCCACGTAAAATGTTAAAAACTCAAAAAAAAAAAAAATGCTACTATTTGAAATGGAGGCAAGGATGGTTAAAATTCAGCATTAAATATCAATTCAAAATGATTTCCCCAGGAAATTGGTTTTACTCTTCACAGGACAGCCTTCCTGGAGGCTCCAGAGGGTTGGACTACAAGCCCCATTGTGCCCATCCCCGCACATCTGGAAGGTATAATTCACCTAAGCATGCCACGATTTTGATGGGACGTGCATCTTCAGAGGTCTGAGATTTTGGAAGGGATTCTTGGCTTCCTGGTTGAAAAGGGAGCTTCCCTTGACCCGATATTTGCATTCTGCTTTTTGTTCTCAAAAGTCCCTTCCTCTTTATCGTGACTGTTCCTTGTTTCTATTCCAGTTAAGTTTCATTTTCATGTATTTTTATTTCTGCTTCTCTCCGTAATTCCTTCTTCCCTTATGGGCCTGTTCAGGGCAGCCTCTGCTAGCTGATGGCTTGTGTTTTTACTCCTGTCCTGTCCAATAATCTTAATTCCTCCCACGGATAGACAAGGAAGTCTGTGTTTCTCCGTTTTGCAAAACTGCAGCCAATTCGAGACTTTCTGTGCTGGGAAGAGTCCTAAAATCTTAAACCAACAGTTAGGCCTGAGAATTCCTTTCCAGCACAAGAGGCAGAAATGGACCCTCTAATTAATAATATTTAATTCATCTTTTTTTAAATGTGTGCACCAAGTTGAAACATTTTTGTATTCTGTCTTTCCAGTAAATGCCCATGCTAACGTTCAAAATTCAGGTTTTACGACCACAACAGAGCACAAATTTTGTGCTGCGAAGCGAGACAGTTGGTAAACGAGGTGTTTTTTTTTAAATAGTTTTTATTGAATATTTTACATTTTTAAAACCAAAAACATAATAGAAAAAGACCAAAAAAGAAAAGAAAAAGAAAAAAAGGAATATATATATATATATATACACACACCAAAAGGTAAAATACAAAACCTAAATAACAACATTATATAATATTTTACAACTTTCTGCATGGACAATTATCCTTACTTTTAAATTCAATCTTCCTAATCATTCTTATTTTTGCATAACCATGATGAGCATTCTTGTAAACAAAATATATATACTTACATCCTATTTATTAACATAGTTAGTATTTTATCCTTACTAGCATTCAATACTCTTAGATTCCAATTAATCAAATGTCAAATTTCTTTCCTTCTTTCTTTCCTTCCTTCCTTCCTTCCTTCCTTCCTTCCTTCCTTCCTTCCTTCCTTTCCTTCCTTCTTCTTCCTTCCTTCCTTCCTCCTTCCTTCCTTCCTTCCTTCCTTCCTTCCTTCCTTCCTTCCTTCCTATACTGTAGTGAAAAGTTTCATGGTCTCTTCTGAAGAATTCAAGAATAATCAAGTCTTCTCAGCATTTAAGCCTCAGTTCCTGTTCCTGTTAAACGTCTGGAACTGTAGCCAGAAGACAAATTTTGCTAACCCTGAAAAATTGTCCAGCTCAAAACTATTACAATAGTTCATTTAGTGACCAATTCAAAGATACAATGGCACTGAAAAAAGTGATTTATGACGAGTGATGGGATTCAGCCGGTTCGAGCAAATCAGTTGTTAAATTGCTGGCTGGCCCCTCCCCTCCCCTCCCAGAAGTCCCCACACACCCCATTTTGGCTCCCAGGTAAGTGCAGGAAGGTCTACTAGGCCCAAAACGGGTTGCGGTGGGGGGAGCGTCCCCCCATGGCCCGTTTTTGCTCCCAGGAGGCTGCAGGGAGGCCTACTAGGCCCAAAACAGGGGGCGGGGGGGCAGCGTGCCCCCCCGTGGCCCATTTTTGTTCCCAGGGGGTGCAGGAGGCCAAGTGCTGCCTGTCACACCTTCTGGCCACGCCCACCATGGCCACGCCCCACCTAGCCGGTCATTAGGGCAGAGAACCTGTTGTTAAATTATTTGAATCCCACCACTGCTTATGACCATTTCCCACACTTATGACCGTCGCAGCATCCCCATGGCCAGGTGATCAAAATCTGGATGCTTGTCAACTGACTCACATTTATGACGGTTGCAGTGTCCCCGGGGTCACACACGATCCCCTTTTGCGACCTTCTGACAAGCCAAGTCAACGGGGAAAGCCAGATTCACTTAACAACCGGGTTATTCATTGAAGAATCGCAGTGATCCGTTTAACCACCGTGGCAAGGAAGGTCGTAAAATGGGTCAAAACTCACTTAACATGTGTGTCTCACTTAGCCACATCAATTTCGGGCTCAATTGTGGTCTGAAGTTTTGCAAAGGAGAAGAAAACGGTTTCCATAGCTCAGGAGTAAAAATTACTCGTATAATCCACTAGAGGTCCAAAAAAAAATATTGATTTTTCAAGACTGAGTTAAATGACACACATTAGGGCATAGTTTACGTCACTACTGTACATAAAATTGTTTATTTTGTGAGATTGATGTGAATTCTGTCGCTCCCAAGGGACCTTTAACTACACCGCAGTGTCTAGTATTTAGAGGAAAAAGAAACAGGAATGTAAGCAGGGTGGAGAAAAACAAGGAATGTAGTCTAAAAACTCCCTACAGGAGGCTAGATCATAGACTTCTAGGCAGGGGTGAAATGCTCCGGGTTCGGACCGGATCGCCCGATCCGGTAGCGATGGAGGCGGGTGGTTCGGAGAACCGGTATCAAAAATCACTGCCTGCCCCCCCATGCCCAGCTGAGCCGCACAATCATCAGAGGCTTTTTTTTTTTTTTACTTTTCAAAGCATT